AGTATGTTTTTGAAAACAATTCAAGGCCATCTGAATAAATTTCCCCATTTGCCACTGGGGTACAATGGGCTGATAGCAGCTTTATGAGGAGTCTGTCACCACTGGAACCAAGTAAAGGGTTGACACATTGTTCAGCGTTCAAGATGGCACTGAGTAGCAAGGACGGGTAAATGTTGAATGTCTCCAGGGGCGTCTGGAACAGAGGGAATGGGAAGGGGACGATGAACCTTCGTCACATGAAGTCATCATAGTCATTACCGTAGCCACCGTCAAATTCACCATAATCAGCAATGTCATCTTTCATTTTTGCTTTCAATCCACCACTAGGAAGTACACCTTTCTTCTTTTTCTTATTTGCCTTCTTTTCCTGTGAATAATGCAACAGTAACAAATTTAGATTGTTATTAATTGTACTTTTCTATTGATATTTTGACCATAATGAACACCTTTTTTTATAGAACTATAAAAAAAAATGTGTGCAAGGCTAAAAATTGTATCATCAATCGAAGGTCCTATAAAACCAAATAAACAAGATTAAAAACAGTAAAATCATTCAACTAACCTTTTCTTGCTTTTGTTTTTCATTAAGCAGAGCAGACAAAGAAGTATTTATTTTCTTCAGGTCATCTACTTCCACTACAGACAGACACACGGAGACAGAACACAGTGATTGGCATTCAGGCGTGCATGGTCTTATGTTTACGCTAGACGAGCCGTATACGGTAATACGATTTATCACAATAATGAACACGCACAATATTGTAATCATAGGCACTTCAAAATAACGTGATTAATTATTTATTACGAATTATTCCGCTTTCGGAATGCATTTTAAGTATACTTTTCCCATCAACTAGTTAAACTACACAGCACCACTGTATGCTGCTTCAAAAAGGCATGCGCACACTCACACATAAGAAGCCCATTGCGGAACGAGTGAAGAGACGCGCTGAATGAAAATGCAGTCACTGTCTGACAGCAGATGGCGCTGTGATGAAACATCAGACATGTAGCGGTTACCACGGTAACTCCATAATCAAAGCAGCTACACTTCTTTCCGTTTCCGAACAGGATTTTAATGTTTCCAAACTATATTCAGATTTTTGTATTTGTTATGGTGTTCATCGCAGAACCGAATTCTTACATATTTAAAGATATTACAGACTATTTATTTTCAAACTTTTTTTTTTTTACATGTTACTCTGCACTACAACATGCCTTGTATATACTATTGTTTGAAAATTGTTTCTTTGTTCAGTCACACTTTACACTAAGGATTTTAACATTTAATAACACAAAGTTGTAACTATTATTTAATGGACCTGGGCTAACATGAACAGTTAGCAAAAGTTAACAAAGAATAATAACTTCTGTAACAAATGTGCTAATTGTAAACGTTAGTTAATGAACTTTACTTACTTTTGTTCTACCGGTTACAGTATGTCAACGTTTTTTGCAACTTATTTCAATATCGTGATAATACCGTATACCGTGATAAAAGCTTCAGCAACATTACAAATTTGATACAGTCACATGCCTAGGTTACGCAACTCACCATATAATCTAAACAGCTGGAGATATATCAGAAATTCCTTGTCACAAACATCCAATTTTTTTTTGAATAAAAAAAGAAGATAATTATCCACAAACAACTCAAAAATATAATTCTGCACTTACATGAAATACAAAGCTCTCGAAACAGTGACTCCAAAAATCTGGAATAATGCACTGATTTTTCAAACTGTGTTATCTTATCTTTCAGTAATTTTTCAAATGCAACAAAGTCATCTTTGGATGAGGGGCACATGGCTTCAATTCCAGAGTCATTGTTTGTTGTCATAACAGTAGCAGCAGGATCAACACCTGAAAACAGAAAGCTTGTTCAATGATTAACTGTTTTACGTTTACTATGGACTATGGTAGATTTCAAATAAGTTTCTTACCAAAAGCCTCACGGGCCAATTCCAAGTCTGCCTCCTCCTGCAACTTTTTCAATCGAAGCTTCTCTGCTATAAGTTCTTCTGGTGATAGATTCTTATGTATTGCTGATTCTTGTTTCTATACACAAGTTTCAAAAACAAAGGTTAAAAACGTTTGAAATATACAAAAGAAATGAGTATCAGGAGAGAAAGGGATTCATTCATTAATGAGTACTATAACTAATAATTTTGTTCTTACCTTCCTCAACTCTTCTTGTTTTTTCTTTTCAGCAATTTCTTTCTCTTTTATTTTATCACTTAATTTTTTCTTCTCAGGTTTCACTTCTAAACGAAATTTAAATCAAACAAAAAGAGTACTTTTCACATGGGTTAAAGAAAAACAGTAATAATGCCCAGTTTTACAATATGCTATTGTTCTGCCTACAACAATTATATTGTGAAAAATGACAGCTCAACAGAGATCAATACCAGCTTTTATCTGTTCAACTTTCTTCACTTCCTCCTTCTCCTCCTCCTCATCATCCCAGTTATCCTACAGACAGAAAGATACAGTTGGTAACCAACCATATGCAAACTAATGTTTTCATGTTCCTATTTATTTGTTTGTTAAGCAGCCGTATGATAATGGAGACAATATATACTGCGTCAACATTATTCTTTACATATATAACAAAATTTAAAAAGCATAATTTCTTCACCATAAAAATTAATAAGAGCAAGTGTTTTTGATTCATTTGTCCATTATAATAATTACAGTACCAAAGACTATAAAACAACATATTAAAGACCATTACATGGCATCAAGTTAAACAAATTCTTTTCTGCTAATAAACGGTTAATACTGACTAAATTGGTACCGATGGTTATGTAGAAGTTTAAAACTGATAAAAGATAGCTTAGATTTGAGCCACTAGATCTACAGAAAGTTCCATGGCTTTTTAAAGACTTATTTTTAAGGCACAGAAATGATAAAATGTCAGTTTTTCCATGACATTGGTTTCAATGGTTCTTGAACACTCGAGGCCTCGGTGAACGGGTTCATTAAGCGAGGCATTTCTAGAGCTGCCTTCAAACAAAACAACTCCCAGTAAATGACGAGAACACGTGCGCGCGTTCATGGATCACACGATAGCGGGTGAGAGAATTCTGGATTTGCGCGTCAACACGACACGCAACGTGACTCACTAGCGTAATGACGTCAACAGCAACGCAATCAGCTGCATGGCCCAAAAATTACAGCATCCACATGACAGCGATGGCTGCAATGTTGAACACAAACTCGCATAGTAAAAAGAAACGAAACCCGATCTAAAATAAGGATTTGGTACAAGCAAGAACGTGTCTTCCCTTGGGACAACGAAAAATGCGGCGTACTTAAAAAGTTGAAGTAGCAACAACAATTTTATTAACTAAGATTAGCAGCACGTTTAAATGAACGAAAACAAATATAAAAAGGTGCTAATGAAAGTCCACATGGCCCGTCAATTGTTCGTTGTTAAAACTGGATTCATATCAGTCAATATTGATACATTTCAACCACAGCCACTCGCATAGAATGACGTGCTGTCACATCTACTAAATTACTTTGATTAATCTGTAATGAACAGGCAGATTATTATTGATGAAAGAGAATCTGTCAGTTAACAGATCTGTAAAACTGGAAGATGACACGTTTGCTGACGTAAACACACACAAACTATCAGTGGAACAGTAACGCTAGTACTAAAAAAATCATCAACACGAACACGCAACTTGATACAGCTGGTGAATCTCTAAATAAAACGGGCCTATTCTAGGTTAGCTAAACAGCTAAAATTACACCATGATCGCCCATATTAGTGCTGCTACCTTTAACGTTAGTCACATATCCTTCGATAAGACAGAATTAAAAGAACTTAAACGCTCATTATTGATACAGTTTTGATTACATGTATTCGCACGTTACCTTCACGTCTTCCTCCTCGTCCTCGCCTTCCCATTTATCCAGCAGCGCGGAGGCAACTACGATCGGCTTAACGTTACTTGGCTCAAAGCTGTCAGCGTCTTCCGAAAAAACAAAATAGTGTCGTGGTTAAGACAGTGACCGACACCCTCTCTCATACATGTAACCTCAAAATATTGAAAGTAACCCTTACCCCAGTCGTCGGCATCCGCCATCTTGGCTTAGTGTGAGTTAGTTAAAGTACTAGCAGAGAGAAAGCAAGCATGTGCACAGACCTGCTGTGATCTACGCGCTTCTGTCTTTCATGCTGACGGGATATCGGAGGACTGGTGTCCGCGTGCGCACCACTGCGATACAACGCCCCCGTGTGGTCATTACTGTTCTACAAGCCCGATGTGCCAGGTCATCGTCATCATAATAATTTCATTATTAATAATAATATGTATTATGTTTATTAATATTAGTGGTGGTAAGAATAATGATTGTTGTTGTTGTATAAATATATTATAGTTTTCCAAGAACACATGCACTGATTTGTGCAGAACAATACAAAATGAAAATGGAGTCAATACAGTCTGAAATTAGGTGTCATGAAATGGTATGACAAATAGGTCCATTTACATAAGTAATCAGAGAGTAAATGTATAAGTGAGTTTATAAATCAAAGAACAAGAAAACTTCACAATCAATGTTGTTTTACTTTAACACAACACATTCTGACTATTTTTCCAGCATTTCATTGTATTTCATCATAAGTCTGCTAAAGCAGTTAAAAAGTTAATAAATAATAAGTTAATAAATAATATTAATAAAAACTAGACAAGTCAAACTAAATACAGATCTAGAATGATACACAAATCTCCAAGAAAGCAATTATTCAAAAACAATCAAACAGAAATCACATTATCATGACTGACAAACTATAATAAAGTGCTGAAAGTAGTATTTCCACGAGTTATTCTTCTTATAGTTTCATGTAACCCATTTAAAATTAAATTCAGCATTTTAGAAGTGCTGAATATACACATTTACAGTATTAAAGTTACATCAGTAACACTTTATTTCACAGTGTCATTGTTACACGTTACATGCAGTTACTATAGTAATAATAACTATAAATTATGCTTAATTACATGCAACTTACCCTAAACCAAACCAAATCCTAAACCTATAGTAAGTACATGTAGTTACTTAATATTAAGCAGTACTGAAATATTACATAATGTTTATATTACATAACCAATTAGTACATGATTACAGTGCAACAAAGACACCTTTAAATAGAGTGTAACTGTTACATCATATTGCACATATTTCGGAAGGAAAGTTCAACTGAACAGCGACAGACCTAACTCATCCCAGAGGATCAGCAGGAGAAAGCAGCAGAAGCATTATCAGGATGCTGGAGAGGTAGAGAAAAGCACAGGACTTCACAGCAACTCCCAGTGACCTGCCTGAAAAGATACACAAATACTATGAGACATTTAACATTTGAGAGTGACTATTCTCAAAATATCCAAATATCAACCATTCAACTTTGAAACTGTATATTATAAAATGACTTTTCCTTCTTTCAAAACAGGAGTGAAAATACCTCTGAAATCAACAGGTTTGTCCTCCCAGGGGTTGAGCACCATGTACAGGGCCGTCTCCTGAACTGGAGATAGAGCGGAGCGCTGGGCGTCAGTTACAGCAATGGCCTGATCATAGGTGAACATACGAATCTGTGCATGGTTAAACACTACCTGTGAAGAGAGAAAGTAGAAACGCCAGGTAAGAACAACTCTAAAAATGACTTCAAAATATTTTTAATCTTAAAAAAGTGGACATCATTAGAGTATTTGCCCCCTCAACCAGACTATCCGGCCCCCTTAGTCAAGATGAATGTGGTAGGTGATATTATTAATAGACAATTTCATATTTTTTTTTTTAGAATTGTCAAATGCATTGGCTTTCTAGAATTAATATTAGGTTACTATAGCAACATTTTAGTTAAGGATTGTTAAGGTATGGGTGGCGGATGAACACAGGCGCAGACAGAATGCACTCTCAGATAGTTTATTGTAGACAAAAAGGGGAAAACAAAGCCCACGAGGGGGCAAAACAAGACTGACAAGGACTATGGTGACTGACTAGACAAGGTACTGACAAAATACTACTAGATAAACGACTGACACGAGCAAAAGATTAACAGGACAAATACTCTTGACAGGTACTCACAAACTTGGCATGGATTAACATTTGGCAACATGGCAATGAACCGACACAGGACAGCAAACACAAGGGGATTAAATAGGGAACACTAATGACAAGGACAGGTGAGACTGACTAGACAATAATGACGAGACGAGACGGGCGGAGTAAAGAAACGAGACAACACAAGCACATGGCCAAAACAGCTGGCCATGCGCTTGCACACAAAACATGGGTCTGTCATGATCCTGCCACCATACTAGGAGAAACCACGGACATGATGGCAGAATCATGACAAGGATAGTCTGTTTCACAGTCACATTTTGATTGAAACATTTGACACATAACCTACATTACGCAGAACTTCCTGTGCCACGAAAAATGCGGTTAAAGCTATGATGAAACATTTTCCCATGTTTAGGGCTAGATAATTGGTCGTAGTAAGTTGATTAGTTCACCGTATTATTATTGTTTGTCACCGGCTGCAGTTCAGGCTGTATTCTATATAGTTCATATATATATATATATATATATATATATATATATATATATATATATATATATAGTTCAAAATTTTAAAAAGTGTCCATCCCTGTTCATTTGTCACCTGTCAATGACGTAATATCCGCGTTATCCCTGGTTTCCACTTGTACTGCCATAGTAAACATGGCGAAAGACGTGGACAACTGCGTAATGCGTAATGTCTAGTGGCACACTGTTGTTGTTTCGTTCAAACATTATGGATCATGGCAAGCAGACTTTAAGGCAAAAGGAAAACTAAAACGAGGATTAATATCAGCGTGGCGTTTTCGTGATGCCGAGAGATCCACGTCCACGACTCACTTGGACTTGAAAGAGCATCACGAGTCACAACTTGACAGGGACGCCACTCTTGCATGTACTTTATTAGACAGGTGAGCAAATGTACATTAAACAAATCAATGTTATATAGCTCACCATGATGAAATATTATAATATGGTATGTTATTCTTATGTTGATATAGCTTACTACTACATACAGCTGTCATACAGCCAACAACAAACTAAGGCATAGAATAACATTATAACTTTCAACACACTCAAATGCTGTTTAGTATGATAGTGTAACATTAGACCAACTGAAACAGCACTGCATTACCTCACAAGTTTCATTCGTCTAATAAACTTACCCATGTCTCTTATTAGCATATCTGTCTAATATATATATATATATATATATATATACACACACACATAGAATATCTGTCTCTTATTAAAAAACATGTTTTTTACTCATCCATAAACATCCATCAGCATGACACCAAGTCCTATCATTCCGCTTATAACTGCATCATCAACCTACACCTTTGTTATTGTAAGAGGTTAGCGGCCCCTAGCGGAAAAAAAAAATAAAATAAAATAGATATTGTAGCTTTAACAGCAGTTTATAAAATGCATGGTAAATCCGCTGAAATTGTGTATGTAACGTATTAAGTCGAATTTATATCTAGTGGTCTTAAACGTTTTTATATCATGGATATAGAGTCAAATTTGTTTGATTATGTTGGTTTCCTTTTTGTTTCATGTAGTTATAATATTTATTGCTCTGCCATCTTAAAGTTGTTAGCTTTAAGTTTCATAGTTGTAGTAACGAGGTTTTTTTTATGCCCGGCAAATACGTAAATGTAGCAAGCATAGCCTGGGATACTTTGCATTACGTCATTGGCCTTTTTCATTACTTCAGACGCCCCCTCGCAGCTATGAACAGCAAATAGTCACCTGCATGCATCACACGCTTTAGGGTGAAGCAAGAGAAAAGGGATACTAACTGCAAATTTGCCCGCTGGGATGAGAGAGATGGCAAGTGGCGTGATTCCTTCAATTTGTTCCCTCACCAAAGCAGACATGGCTATATCAGGCAGCCCCGCTACAGAAAGGGGAAAAGTGCACAAAAAAAATCCCCATGTATAGACAAAAAACAGCAACTATGAATAAAAGAAAAGAGCAAATAAGGCACAATATTCTTTATTCTATTGATGCTAATTCACTTATATTAACTGTATCTGTTAATCTATCAATAGACAGACACATTTATCCAAAGCTGTTCCCAAGCTTGTCCCTGGAACAACCTTGGGTATAGTGCCTCGCTCAATCTGTGGGAATCAAACCTCCAACTTTCTGATTACAAGCTCTGAGCTGTACCTGCAATCGCTCCTATCTCAATAAAGACCTCTGATCCCCAGGAGCTGACCGGTCCAAATGTCAAGCTATGACTGAGCAGTCCTACCAATGCCTGCAGCTGCTCCTCAGAACAGGACAAGCGCAAACGACCCAGCCACAAAACTGCCTTACTGGAAAGAGAAAAACACACATTTCACATTCTCGCACAAGAGTAAAAAATGTAATTATATGAACCAAATAAAAAACATATTAGAATAAGTTAGGTAATTCAACCTGAACTCGACAGGATTCAAACTGCGCATGACTGGTGCATCTATCCCACACACAATGTGCCCCAAAGCCACAAAAGTGCTGGAGTCTAACTGGCTAGGAGTCTTTCTGGTCGAGTTCAGCACCGTGGAGAATAATGTTTTCAACTGCAATTGCAAAACAGAGTTCAATCATGTATACTACAATAGTTTGGTGTCAGTAACAGTAAGAATTTTTTAAAGAATTTAATACTTTTATACACATTAAATTGATCAAAAGAGAAATTGAAAAAAAAAAATCGAAATAAATGCTGTTCTTTTGAACTTTTTATTTCTAAAATAACATCAGTTTACCACAAAAACACTAAGCATTAGAACTCTTTTCAATATTGATCACTATTGAATAAATATAAAAATATCAATATCAATATTTTTTGCACCAGACCAACATACTGGAATCATTTCTGAAAGATCATGTGACACTGAAGACTTCAGTAATGATGCTGAAAGCTGATTCAGCTTTGCCATCAGAGGAATAAATACATTTTCAAAAAATATATTTAAATAGAAATTGCTATTTTAAATGGTGATAATATCTAATTGTATTACTCTTTTACCACTGTTTTTGTTATTTAAAAAATGCAGCCTTGGTGAGCATAAGCAAATTTCTTTCAAAAACATACAAAAAAAATCGTACCCACCCTAAGAATTTGAATGGTATAGTGTACATTAATAGATGTACACTAGTTCTGTATAACAACATGATTCTCAAAGTCAATAAGTAAATTTATATTAATCAGTGGTATGTTGTGTCTAACAAATGGCAACTGTATCAGCCATCCCAGCTCACTTGCAATGTTTTCATCAACATTTTACCTGTCTGCTGGTCCACGTGTTGAGAGCCCCCATAGCTGAAATTGACTGAATTTCATAAAGTCTAAGAGAGGCCAATTCGTCAAGTAAGAATTGAGTGGCAATGCGACCCAACTGAGAGATTATAGAAGAGTTAAAAGAGGAAGGCATCCCATATACCTACAAAAAAAAAAAATACTTATATTACATTGCAGTTATGCAAACATTAACTGAATACCACCAACATATTAGTGGAAAGTAGAAATTCAAAACGAGGCTATATGTCTAATGATGTGAATCATCAAATGTCTCTCAACTAAAAAATATAAAAAAATAGTGAGAGACTAATTTAGAAACATTCGAGCTGAAAATTAGGCACCTCCTTGGTCTTTGTAAGGAGCACTGACAGCTGGAATGCACTGAAAAAGGGATCCTGGCCAATGAGCTCCAAGCACCTCCGAAATGCGGCTAGTGGCATGTTTCTAAGGCTATCAATAGTCCAGGCAGCAGGTTGTGTCACATGCAGGCTCTCACAAGTGGGGATCAGCCCCGAAACTAAGAGACAAAGAGGAAGAGATGAAAATTAACTGGGCTAAGTAGTCAAACGTGTGAGATGAAATGGCATACGGCAGTATTATATCCCTACAAATTATATCAAGGCAGAAGATTGCACTTACAAGTGGCGCGTCCCACTCTGAGGAAGCCGAGGAAGAACTGAAGTACAAACTGCTGCTTGTCAAACAGCTCGGAGGGTTTCTGACACAGAGAACCAAGCTCTCCTCTCTCCCACTTCTGCTGACTCAGGAACAGTTTCTCAATGCGCTCCAAGCTCATCAAACCCTGAAGACACATCAAGTAGACAGGTCAAAACACAGACAGACAATGATCGAACATACTTGGTCAGCTGGTCATGAAGTACAGTATGTGTCTTTAGACACAAAGAAATCTCTGGTCACTTACTAAGGGGATGAGTTGAATAATCTCCTTCGGAAGAAAAAACAAGAAACGGTCCACTTGGTCCAGTGTCTCTGATGTCCAGTTTTGTACATGGCTTTGTGGGGGGGGGAAATAAACAGTTACAGTTCATTGTTATGAAGCATAAAATATTTCTGGTTTTGATGTCATTTTAAGTTCCAATGGTTTAGGTTTTAACTGTCCCTACCCAAATGTCCTCGGTTCCATTAGCATGTCTGCCACCAGGTTTCTTTTATTGGCGTTGTAGCAGAAACCTTGTAGGAACTCCAGACCATCTACAAAGAAGCTCCTATCCAAATTCAAAAACATTTCATCTGCCACAAACGTAGCCATGACACCTAGCGAACGAAACTCCTCTTCAGTGTACAGGCCAGTGTACATATTCTGATGAGAAAACAAAAGAAAAAGGGTTAACCCCGTCAGAATCATTAACTGGGAAGGTCCTAAACAGAATATATACATGACCTGTTGACCGTAAAATAAGAGTCTTTACCAGTCGTTGAACCATCTTGTCCACCAGGACAGCTTGTTTGGTGCTGGAAAGCAGTAGGAAGAAATGTGGCTCCTGTACTATCATTTTCCTCAGGGAATCCATCTTATCTGGTGGAAATTTCTTAATAGTGCTCAGCCTTTAGATAACGACATTAAATTTAACATGTGAAGACATGATTATATGTACATGTACAGTGTAAATCCATTTGAACTGAGTTTGAATCTTGACTCACGGAAGTGACAGTGCGATCTGAGAGCCCAAATCTCCAAGTAACTCTGAGAAGAAGTCAAACTCATACAGTTCCTCAATTACACACTTTATCTGTAGTACAAAAATTAAAAAGAAACTTCTGTAAAGAGAAGGAGTGTTTTCCTTCATTTACACCGCAATGCTAGATCCAATATTTAGGGTTCAAGACATCTCTACTCAATGTACAGGCAGGCCTACATTAAATTAACAATGAAATAAGATTGACCTTAGTGAGGACTTGACTTGATCAAATAAAAAACAAACCTAAACTGGTAATCTGTAACATTTAGGTCTTCTATTTGAATGTGGGTTTACTAGCATACCAATGAGGGGTGGAGTGGCACAGGCTGCTCTCTCAGAAACTTCAGAATGTCACGTAGAGGAGATAGAGATGCCAGGTTTTGGAACAGTCTTCTAAGATCTATGCAATTCACTCCCGTAGCCACTGTCCCCAGAGACCTTTCATGTCAGAGAGAGAAAGAAACATGATTTCTTAACCCTAAACTTAAACAATCACCCAGTACTTCACTGAGGAGTGCCATGATTCATGTTGTAGACCTTGTTTATAATCACAAAATGAACACACAAATACATCAAGGCCAAACTTACATATATTCGTGTTGGGAGAGACTTGGGTGGGCGAAGATTGCCTCTTTAAAGAGAACTTTAGCCTATTGAATTAAAAAAAAAAAAACAATCATGGGTTAAAGATTTTAATATCATTGCAAATGTTTTGAATGCTTCATATTTAGGTGGTACTGTAAGCTTGAATCGTTCTGATGGTAGGAAAATTACTCAAGGAATTTACTAATAGGTCAGGGGACACAATTAATGTGACCTGTTCAATATTTATACATACATTAACCGTGAAATCAGTGACTTCCTGGCTCTGTAAGCTTATCTTTAACAGGAAAGGGGATGACAAACACTTTCATGCTTAATGTCCTGGAAAAAGGGACTGACAGTGCTAGAGCAACTCAGGTTGGTTTCCATCTTATTTTCAGATAGTGAACAACAGAAGATACTGTGTCTAGTGTGCTAATCCAGACACAACAAAGAAGCCTATGCTCCATTATTAATTATTAAACCAGTAATCAGACACTGTAGTATTGTACTGATATCTGTGGTAATGGAGTATAATGATGAAAAGCACACTTGTTATGCTCAAACAACTTGAATCAGAACAAATATATCTGAAAAAATATATTTTGCTGTTCAGATCTGAACCAGATTTGTAGTTTCAGAGGGAAATATTAACCAATACTTGAAAGGTAGCAAATGAATAATGTTTTAAATAAGGTTATGTTTTAGGTTTTGGAACTGTGCTAATGAAATGCTGCATTAGAGCAGTCGGTCTTGTTATCTGTCGGCTGAGCACAAGAACATTACGTTGTCCTTCCATTTCATCAAGACAAATCCTGAAAAAATATTTATCATGATTTCCACAAAATATACAGTATATGTTGAGCAGCACAACTGTTTTCAACATTAATAATAATAATAATAAGAAGAAAGGTTCCAGCAAATTAGAATGATTTCTAAAGGATCATGTGATCTTTGCCATCAAAAAGAATACATTACATTTTGAAATTTATTAAAATAGAAAAAAGTCATTTTAAATTGTAAAAATGTTTCACAGTATTACTGTTTTCACAGTATTTTTATCAAATAAATGGAGCCTTGGTGAGCATAAGAGAAGTTATTTCAAAAGCATTAAAAAAATGTCCACAAGGAAGAAAAGACAAATCACAATTCACAGATGTAAAAAAGTAGTAGGCAAATATTATAATGATATCACCACTGTCACCTCTGCCACAGCCAATGCGACACTGTCAAACTTAATAAAATGCATCTTTAACTTAAAATTAAGCACAAATATGAAATCTATTAAAATAACATAACATTTACTAAAAAAAATTGCAAGTTCTATAATTGTAGTTGATAAATGTGTGTATGACTAGACTACAACATACCTGCTGTGTGTTCCAGAGGCGAGTGTTAACAGCAGTGTCTCTGACCAGCAGTAGAGGTACTTGGGGAATCACAATGAAGAGTGGAGTGCTTGAGAGCAAAGGTTTGACTTTATCCATCCACTGGGACACAGACCTAGAACCCTGAAAGATGGGGGCAGAACAATTTACAGCATTTGTATTACTACGATAGACGTAATCGATACGATAGACATTCTTGTTTCCCTTAACTGAACGCTCTAGTATAGGCATGTTTGAGCTGAGATGTCTGTGTTCCGAAGCCTAAAGGAAATATCTGTTCCTTACCCAGAGTTTGCAGATGATAGCGTTGGCCTGAGGGGGGGTGAGCCCAGGTGTCTGAAGGCTCATGCCAGGTAAAGCTTCCAGCAGAATATCAGACTGTAAAGTCCATAGAGTCTCCACCTTTACTCCACTCACAAGAGACCCCAGCATAGACAAATGGCCAGAGCCAGGCAGAGCCAGCTGAGAGGGAGCACAAAATATCACACGTTTAATATTTCTACACAATATTTAGTGTTGTTGAGAATTTAACATAACAAACTGGGATTCGGTGAATCACAGGAGACTGCAAATTTTTTACAATTTTTTTTGTAATTTTTTTAAGAGCTGTTAAAGTTACATATTAATGCAATAAGCTATGCATAATTATTATTATTTTACATTCACATTCACCAAATATGACACTTTTTCACTCTGCTTTCTAGAGACTACTAAGAAATCGTGAGATTAATTGCAATTATTTTACTGTATCGACAGCACTGTTTTTTTTTAAAGAAATTGATACACTGTCATCTTAATAAAAATGACAGATTTTCCAGATGTTTTAATACTGTGCAATATAACAGCCATTTATTTAAAAAACATCTTTTTATTATCACACGTAATATTTTTCTCAAACAGTATAAATACGTTATATATATATATATATTTACCTTATCAATTAAAAAATTGTTATCAATTGGGGACAATTTTTTAAAATACCTAATTAGCAGTTAAAAGAATAATTCACCCAAAAAATTTGTCCTCACTTACTCACCCTCAAGTTGTTCAAAACTTGCTGAACAAAACAGAAGATATTTTGAAGAATGTCTGTAATCAAAAAGTTGATGGACCCCATTAACTTTCATAATAGTAAAAAAAAATACTATGGAAGTCGATGGCAACTGTTTCATTTTTATTTTTGGGTGAACTATCCCTTTAACACACATATACATATATTAAATTGATCAAAAGTGACAGTAAAGACTTTTACACTTTTACACAAAAACTCTAATAATTCAAATAAACACCATTGTTTTCAACGTTCTATTCATCAAAAAATCCTGAAAAAATGTGTCAGTTTCACAAAAGTATTAAGCAGCAAAAGCGCATAAAAATATGCAATGTTTCTTGAGCAGCAAATTAGCATATTAGAATGATTTCTGAAGGATCATGTGACTCTGAAGAATTATAGTAATGATGTAGAAAATCAGCTTTGCCATTAATAACAATACATTTTTTTTAAAAAAATCAAAGAGGGAACAGTTATTTAAAAATTGTAATATTATTTCACGATATTCAATATTTTTTACTGTATTTTTTATCAAATAAATGCAGTCCTAGGAAGCATAAGACACTCTTTTCAAAAACCTAAAAAAAACAAAAACAAACCCAAACAACTTTAAAATGGCAATGTGTATATATAGCAGCCTTTATATTTTAGGAATGGGGTCCCTCGGAAAAAGATCATCACCATTTGGGGGTCGTTGTCATCAAAAAGTTTTGAAAATCCCTTACAAAACCAATGCAACTAGCTTTATGTTTAATGAATTAACATGTGCCATACACAGTCTATATTTCAAAAACAGATGCGTCCTTAGGTGTCTCAGCGACGACGCCACGCATGTGAAAGACACTCACTAGTGACACCCTATCTGACCCACATCACAATGTTCCCTTAAACCTTAGACACTAAATACAAAAGGCTGCTTCATAACTTCCTTGTGCCTGGTGTAATCCAATACCTTGAGGAACTGCCAAATCACATGGATCATATGAGTAAATAGTTACATGCACTTTCAAACATGCAAAGTAAATTATACAGAGTAACTGATGGGTCAGTGTAACTGATGCGTCAGTGTAAGTGTGTGTGAGGCCAATGCAATTGTCCTTGAAACACCCCAGAGTTGATTATGCTGGGTAGTGGGCCAGCTGGCTAAGGAAAAGTGCTGACATCTCAAATGCAGTCACACACATGTATGTTCACAGGGGCTAGAAAATTGGCTCTCTTCTCAACAAAATACCAGAGCAAACAGCTTTTCTCAACCTCACTGCAAAGATATACTTACACTCAAATTGGCTGAGATCTTGTCGACGATAACACCAGCCTTTTTGAAAAAATAAACAATACAGTGATTAATTGGGAGTGAATAAGGCACTGCATTATAAAGCAATGAAACAACAAGATGAAGAACAAATAAAGCCTAATTAAAGTTAATTTGTAGTTACTTTTATTTAATTACAACACATATATTGACTTATACAAAAACATTCTCCCTTTCAACCTATAGTAAAGACTCCCAATGGACATCTGAAGCTTTCTGTCTTTCCATTGTGCTCTCATCCTCTGCCTTCCTTATGTTTTGGGTGCACTTTGAGATGGACATGCAGAATTCACGTTTGGTCATGCAGAAATAATTAAAGCAGTTGAGCAGTGACACAGTCCTTTACCTATATCAGATACCATGGCTCCTCTGACTGCAGTCTTCCATCTGTTGCAAAGCCTCGAGTTTAAACCCACTTTGTAACCTTTGACCTCTACTTAATTTCAACATCCACTAGGGTATACTCAGTGTCCAAAATTAACACGACTAATGCAAAATGCAAGTAAAAATTGCATTAGATAAGCAAATAAAAGAGTTACAGCCAAGTTGGCTCATGCAAAATTACATGGGATAGATGAAATTATAAGAATGATATTCTGACTTTTGCCAGTGCAACATGAAAGATTCAAATGAAACTGTGTGATATTGTTGAATATTTCTCACACTGCGCAACCAAAATGAAAATATGTGGAAGAAAAATCAAGATTTTGTGATAGTTTCTCAGTCACAATTCTAATAAATCAAAACTATTTTGCCCACATTTGTCCAGAATACGGTTTTAGGATTAATACTGTAAGTGGTGTACCTGTGCTGGGGTGAAAGGCACAGAGGCGAGGGTGCTGAGGGCAGGCATGAGCTGGGCTGAGGTGAGCTGCTGCAGGACGCTGGATCCCAGCAGGGGTAGAAAAGGGGCAAGCTGAGAGACTCTCTGAGGAGAGAGACTGGAGGGAGACTGCAGCTCAGATGCTTTCAAGACCAAGCTGGATATCTGGACACAAAAAGAAAAGTAACCAAAAACACCAGAGGCTATTTCGTATTTTCGGTATCGTTTTTAAAGAAGGGGGTAACTAAAGAGGTCACTGATCTGGACCATGTTCACTAACCATATTACTAGGAACACTAAATCCCTGGATAGCACATGTTCTAATGTTGTCCTGGATCACTGAAAAGGCTTCTGTTCCTGCATATGCCATCAGCTCGCTGGGGTGAGCCAAACAGGACAGATTACCTAACCTGGAGGGGTTTGAGAGTTAACAAAAATGGTTGTGCTGTAATACTTAATGTCTTTTTTTGCATTTCCATGACCCAAATATGAAAAATACAAGAAATCATATTGTTTTGATTTGAATGGAGTAAAACAATGTCATATTCAGCTAACCTCCTGAACTGGTCTGCTGTGAGATTATTGAAGGCTCCAGTGAGACTCTGAGCGATGAACTGCTGCTTGAGGAGACCCAAGGTGTTACTCTTTAAGACATCCAAACCATCCAGCAGCTAAGAAAATAAAACACAAGAGTATGCCATAAGTCATAATTTATGTTCATAAGACATTTATGTATTTTAGTCATATGATTATTTTAAATATGATCTTAAATGGTCGTTTTAAACTATAATGACTTATATTTCATATTAAATCTATTATGTCCTTTTTATATGGAAAGCAATGAATATATGGAAATGTTAGCCCCCCAGTCTTATTCAGTGTCCAGTACACAGCCATTCTTAATTTATGCATCTCTGTGTTTATTTATTGAAAACAGACTACGAGGGCATGTCTGTTAAAATGAACCAGTGGCAAGCATTGGCATTTTACCCATGTCTGAGGGTTAACCGGAGCCAGATGGGTTCAGGTATCTTTGCAAGGTGTTTGGGCTGTTACCTGAGCAGGTGAGAGGTACTGGAAGCTCTGGAAGGGCAGATAGGCGATCAGGTTACCAGTGTTTCTGATGAAGGATAAGCTACCGGCTGTCATGTTGGGCAAGCTCATGGACCGACTGAACCATCGACCAAATGCTTGCTGCTGCTCCAGGGAAAGGTTTTTGATGCTGAAGTTAATGATGCTTAACCTGGAGAAAAGTAGGAGAGAGGCGATGTTTTAAATAATTTGAATGATGTGTAAAAAACCCTAAATATCTTGCAGTTAATGTTAACTAAAACTATTAAAATCATTATCATCAACTGAAGTGAAATAAAATCTAAATATTAGATGAAAAACTTGTACTTCAAAAACAAGAAATGTTGCCTTGCCAACTAACTGACAAAGCTAAAGTAAAAAAAAAAGCTACAAAAAAACAAACATTTTTACTAAAATTAAAATGAAAGCTGAAAATATAAAATAAAAGCTAATTCAAAATGTTAAATACTATAATAGTATATAAATAATATGAAATTAACACTGATATTCTAGAAGTAAGAAATACAAAAAAATTATTAATTGTATTAACATAATTACATTTACATTATAATTAATGTAATTATAATTATAATATCAATATCCCACTTTTTATAAAGTTTGGAATTCAAACAGCCAATAATCATAATAAAATATAATAAATAAAAAATAAAATACCAGGAATTGAATGGTGTGATCAACAGACAACCCTTTTAAAGCTCTTAAAACAAGTACGTAGGGGTGGCACTCACGCATTGATGTTGTTTTGTAGCGGTGGCATTGACATGATGTCTGAAGGTGTAGCCAGAGCCAACAAAAGGCCCATGTCAGGGAACAGGCTAATATCCCTAGGCAGGTGTATTTGGAAAAGCACGGACACCATAGTGTGCAGGTAATCATCTGTTAGCTTCAAAACAGGAAAGACTCTAAATGATATCAATGCATGTAACTATGATGATATTATATCAATGATATTCAATGATGCAGTAGTGGGGATGGTTTACCTGCAAAGTGGCATGGTTCCTATTATAGTACAGCAGAACCTCCCTTACAATTCTGATGTCCGCTGCACTGAGCACTGATCTCAGATGAGAAAGAGGAATTCGAAAATACTCCTGTAAACCAATAATGAGAACTGTTATTCAAGCTGTTACTCTAACAATGATTTCAGCAAACAAAACCAAAAATTGTGTATGGACAAAGTAACACATTAATTTTGCACCAAAACCTTTAACTAAGTTAATTAAAAACATGCAAACAAAGACTTCCATCCAACCTTGATCAGAAAAAAGTTAGTGGGAACAACTCTTCCTGTTTGCATCAGACTGGTCAGAACTTTCTGAAACACACACATGCATAGTTTCAACTGGAAATACGGTATCTGAACCATATTGTCATGTAAAATGAAACGGGCAATGACATCTCAACATTGATTAAAACAACAACATAAATTAGGTATAGTATCAATGTAGAGACAAATCAAATGACAGAGTTAATATTACACGCTAAGGAAGAGATTTAAATTATCCGGTGTCACAGCTAACACCTTATACCTCATGTTGATGAGCTAGATCATGGGTCAATTACAAAATAGTGGTTCTCGATACTCGATAAGGGATATACTTAATTAATATTTAGAACTAGAAGAACTTCCAGAACTAGTTCACGGTGTCTTTTTTTGGAAACACTGGTCTAATGAAAACAATGATATGAATAACATCCCCTGTTCTGCCATAGAATAATAATACCAACCTCAAAGCATTGCAAAAGCACACGCTTATTGTCAAAGTTGGCCTCATTGTCCATGTAGACGATAATTGACTCCAGCACACTAAGCCGAATATTCTCGGTCACCCTCAGAGAGGTCATCTGGCTTTCTTCTAGAGCCAACAGCAGGACAATCCACAGGCTGGTGGCCTGCTCGACCACTGATGTCACCTTTGTAGTCATGAGATTCTCCAAGCGAGGTTGGAGAATCTCTATCCCACAGCGCAACAGCATCCAAAGGCCCTGGACTTGACTGCCACCTGGTTGGCAGACAACGCTGAAGTCTGCGCTGCAGGTCCAGTTTAGCCTCTTAGCTAACTCCCTAGGTAGACATGGAGGAGCAGTTGCGCTCCCATTTGGACTCTCGATATGGGGATCTGTGTACGTGGCACAGAGTGTGCCGACCCAGAGGCTGGAGGCCTCCTGAGTGATGTGGGCGAGCATGAAAGAGTCAGCACAGACAAAGGAGATAAAGTTGGCCTGGTCATAGTCCCAGCAAAGAGCGAGGAGAGAAGCCTCCGGGAGGACCAAAGCCCAACTGGAGTACTGACACTGCTCAGCCGGGCGGAAACCCATCAGGCTCCCCCCGTTCCCAGCCCCACCGCCTGGGCCAGACGCAGTCAGGTTTGAGCATTGCTCCAATAACCAGGTGTTGTCTAAATTGGCCAGCAAATTCTGGAGAACTGTAACATTGGCACATACATTCCGAGTGAAGTTCTCAGCATCAAGATCGGCACAGAGAGCAAGGTCGCTCATGTCTACAATAATAGGCTGGCTCCAATCTGAATAGACACAAACCTGCGCCAACACTTTCGTGGTGTCATTATTAGAGCACTCTCTAATCACCCATTGGTTGTCGAGATGAAGAGACAACTTCTCATACAAGGTCAAGTTGCAGCAGACGTTCTGACGAAAGCCTATCTGGTCGTACTGCCAGCACAGAGCAACCACAGTCGGATCCACAGACATGTTAGTCCATTTGTTGTAGTTACACCAGACTTCAGTTCTTACCGGTGGTGGGCTCGTGGGGGGATTGCTGATAGAGTAAGTGCAATATTGTGCTACCCAGGTATTCCCGCTGTAAAGCACAAGTACAGTGACGAACGTGTGGTTAACACACACCTCATTAATGAATCGACTCTCGTCATTTTGGATACATAGAGATATCTGTTCAGGGGTGACTGCTCTTAAGTTCTTCCATTCTGAGTATTTGCAAGACTGAGCCACCATGGTGTTGATGTCGATTTGTGGAGGAGGTTCAGAGCAATTGGGCTTAAGCCAGTTGTTTTCTTCACTGGAGTACACAACCATAAAGAAGACCGTACTGTCACACAATAGCCCCTCAAATCTGTCCATGTCATTATACCAGCAGAACGTCACTATTGATGGGTCGATGGTTTCAGTGGTCCACGTGTTATATGAACAATACAGGTTCACTATGTATGTGTCTGACGTGTTTGCGCAGAATTCCCACACCCAGGCATTAATGGGATTTCTGACCAGCAATTGCATAGCTTCAGCATTGTTACACACACCAAGGATAAATGCCGGACGATCATTTTCACTGCACATTGTGACCAGAGCCGGGTCCACGGAACCACTGGCAGTCCAGTTCTGGTAGTCGCAGAGGAGTTCGCTGAGGCTAAGGGGGGACCTCGCAATACGTCTTGACTGTGCAGTGGCAGGATCGCTGCAGGGTTCCACGAGAGGTAAGACGACGTTTTGGATCATGTGACACGTGCTCCTCCAGACCTTTGTCACTTCGGTTTGAGAGAGTGTGCGGAGCGCTTGACACATCTGGTAAAGTATGTAAGATTCCTGAGACGTTGCTGCTAAAATTTCTGCACAAAGGGTTTCATTGAGTTGGTTCAAGTTTTGTTGGTCGCAGGTGAGCCTGGATGTGGGGATGTCCACTGAGGGTGTGCCAGTACGACTGAACTGGATGCTGCTTGTGGCTTGGCATTCTGGACCTGGGAAACTGCAAGGAGGTGATTCAGGAGCCAAAAACATATCCAGAAGTGATTGTCCAAAAGACCAAGTCACATTATGACTCATGCCCCTGAATATAGAAAACAAGACAGAATTAAGTGAGAAATTATTTCTTATTTTAAAGTAAGATCAATGATACATCATTATATTGTAAAGTAATATTCTTATTCAAATGTGTAACAGGAATATGGGCTTCCAGAGACATGAAATGAAAAAGAGCCGGCACACTGATATTTCTGCTTCCTGTGACATACCACATGATGAGCTGTTTGAGGTCACCTGCGTATAAAAGAAAGAAGGAGAGTTGTATTCCAACATATGAAGAAAAAAAAAACAGTATTGAAGAACCAAACTGAACCTATGACATACCTTGTTGACACTTCTCACTCTGGTCTATGGTAGGGATCTCTATGCCAAACTGTAATCCGAGTTTTAGAAAATCCACTGGAGTTTGAAGCGCATTCAACATGAATTCAGACACAAAGGACATCAAAGTTGGAATTGTCATGTCCATGAAACTATTCCATAGGGATAAAAAGTTCTCCGACAGCAGATAAATCGGGAGGTCTGAGGACAAAACATTTGTCAACATCTCCTGAACAGAGTTTAACTGAGAAATGGAGGAGTCTGCCATTCGCAGATTAGATGTTGACATGCAGGCTTGAGATTTAACAGAGGAGATCACAGAAAGTATCTGTTCACTCAATGAAGATGAAACGGTACTAGTTAAATCTGCTTGCCATCCACAGTGCTGTCTGTCTGCCAAAACACAAATTAAAGTCTTAGGAAGAGTTTCAATGAAACTGTCAATCAGCATCGGCTGGTATATAGTGAATAAACTGTTGAATATTGAGGAGTAAGTGTCTAGGTTAGTGCTGTCAATTGCGATTCTTTCATGGGATGCTGATGTCATTTTGCTCATGCTATTTTCTTCTCTTGACAAGGATCTGATGTTCTCTATCAGGACTTTCAAATTCCTCTCAAATTCATCCTCACTCCTGGAGCTCGTCTCACTCTGTCTGATGATGGTCTTGGGTAATGAGGGTTTTCTGGAGTCACCACATGCACTCCCTTGGAAGAAGAGGCAAACATGGTCACACTACCTTAGTGTTCATGCATTTATCAAAATACTGGATTATACAAATGGACACCAGGTAATCCATAAATTATTAGCAGAGCTTGTTGAAATTATACATTACTTTTACTATTTAAATTATATGTAATATGGGTAAAATGCCAACTGTAATGTAAAAATAACCCCAAATGTTTATTTAAATATTATCTTCACCCTGACAAATGACAAAACATAAGTTCACCTTAAAGATTCAGAGGCATTTTAAATTGTACAAGTGCTAAGGAAAAAAAGGAATCATAAAAAAGGAAACGGAAAAGAGAAGACAAGACAAGGAAAAAACCCCTCTTACCTAAAATGATGCTAAGCATGAGCAACAATAAACTTCCGCTGTGGTGCATTTTTACTGAGAAATATCCATATGTCGCTACGGCGGATTGTTAATTTAACAAAAGCATGGTCACTGTCGGCTGAGACTTCATTTACATTAATTACGATATCGTCGTAAAAACTTACACAACTGACTGTACTTGTTCTGTAATGAAGACTCTCTGTGATTCCTGGATTTCGGCTAAGTTATCACGGCTTGTGTCACTGCAACTCAATCCTGCATCAGTCGCCTAATTAAACAACAGCAGAAAAGAGGTGCGAAACACACGGAACGGATTTGAGAGTGGAGGAGAGACAGCCGAAAGTCCTGAAATATTAATATGTCGTGTTGACTGTCAGCCTCTCTGTCACAGCAACGTACGTACACCCGATCAGTGACACAGGTAGAAACAAACGGAAGCACAGGTGGGTGGGTACAAGGTGATGCAGCTTGTCCTCTTGAGTTTACGACACAATTCACTTTAAATGTGAATAATATAAAACTGATAACGACTAAAGATTAACCGTTTCGTGTGCACCAGACAGTGAATAGTGACTGAAAATTGCGAAAAGTATGTTTTAGAGAAAACATTTCAAAATGTGTCAAGCAAAGCATGTTCATGTTTTCCAATTATAATAACATCCTCAATTTATCTGAAACCACTGAGTATAAAAGTAAACTTTTCGTAACTTTAATCTTTTAAACAAACACCAATTGAGGCCAATTTAAATGCTCAATTGTAACTTATGTTTAAGTAGATTTGAAAATTAGTGAAGTATCATATTTTGATTGATTCAATATTTAAAAGGCAACCTATTAAAAAGTATTTACTCACTTTAGGTGAAACCACCTTAGTTAAAATCTATATTAAATAAAGGATAAACCAAAAGATTGTGTAAGATAATGCTCAGTTCAAACTTCAGAGGTTCCCACACTTTTTGTACACTTTTTTGTACTACCTACTTTAACCCTGAAACTCCTTATTTATTTAAAAAATATTTTTTTCCCCATCAATTTAGACATTTTTATATTCACCTACTTTAATGTTCTCTCATTCAACAAAGGCTTTCATTTCTCATTTGTGAGGTTGCATCAAATTGCATCAATAAGATGCCATTTATGTTGACAGTCACACAAAATTTATACAAGTCATAATCATAAAATCTCCTCGATATTACACACCATTTGATGGTAAAATGAAGTAGCAGAAAAAGACATGAAATACAACCATCCATTCATAAGTATCTAACATGTTGTTTTGACATAAGCTAACATTAAAATAAAAGAGCATGCAATTTTCCAAAGACTTAATTTCCATTATATGAACAATCTTAAATAACACGTTTCAGGAAATAACATTTAGACCAAGAGAGTTTTTCCAATGCAGCTCAAGGACATTCGCAAGCCATGTGGCTTTTGAAGATGAAGAGTATGAAAGAAAACAAACCTGAAACATTCATCTGCAAAAATAAAAAAAAAAAAATAAAAAAATGCTGTGATTAAAATATCAACTCTCACATAACAGGCTTTTTATACGTGGAGAACGTTCAGTGATTGTGCCAACTACATACAAAGATACAGTAAGACTGAAAAAAACAAAACAAAAACTAAAACAAAACACTGATGACAAGTTAGATCTGCATTAATACATTTGAAAATGGATACATTTTGAAAAATAGATATGACATGCCTTTCGGAATACAAATAATCAAAAATACAAAAAGATTTTCCTTTAACTTTTTTTTTGTTCATGAAGCTGCAATATGCACAATATGCACAATTAGTACAATATGCTTTGTACAAAATTAATGAACATTACAATGAACTGGTTGTACATATGAAACAAACCTCTGCATCATGTTACACTTGATTCACTACTGCTTTTCGACAATCATACAAAATAATTTTCTTTGTCTTTGTAAGAAAGTGCCAGGGCCTAACAGTAGATGCAACCCGCCTCCCAACATCTAATATCATTCTGGACTATTAGCATCATTCAACTATTTTGCATCAATGTAGGGAGAAGGAATAGTTTACACACACACACACACAAAAAATGCTACTTACTATGTAACACCATGTTAAACCATTTTCAAAAAGTATGCATAACCATTACCAAATCAGTCTTTGCTATGAGAAAAATACTGTGTTTGTGGCTTGTGGACTGTCAAAAAACTGTCAGTAGAGCAGGATCCTTGGGATCACACTTTTTCACTCCTATTTTTCATCCTCTCTCCTTCAATTGGGAAGTACCACAGGATATAGAGTTAAAGCATGAACACATTGCAATTCATTTTTATAGTTATAATTTTACAACAAATTAAAAAAAACACCACATGATAATTTCTTTACTGCATACAAGATGTTTTTTTTAATTCAACTAAAAAGGCCTCATTTTTTTTAAGTTATGAAAATTATATTTTCAGAAAAAAAACCCTACTATGAAAATGTAACAATCCAATTTAGACAAATGATGCATTCAGTGATTGTCTATTACTAAGAATGACCCATTTATCTGAAAACAGCACACTAAACACAAACAGCATAAATGGCACCGGTGGCATGAGTAGAAAATGAACAAGCTCATTTTGTCAAAACAAAACCATTTGTAGAGGACAAAATATAAAAGGGAAAGCAACTAGCTTGGCCCTGCTTCAATGGCACTACTGTAGTTTCTACTCTTAGTCTGTATTACTCAATTTGAAGTATCGCCTATAACAGTGGAATTAAAAAGGCAATATGAAAAGGATTGAGGGGAAGAAAAAACATTTCACAGAATAATTATACCGTTCTCCTCAGACAGCGATGCACACTCATTCATCTAGCTTACATCACACAATACTTCTGGACAGAGCTACCCCCCCACCCCATCCCACAGAATCCCAGTATAAAGAAAAGCCAAAATGTCAGGCAGTAAGGTTTAAACCACAGCGATGAGACGTGCTGTTGTTATGCTGGTGCTATAAACAGGGCTCGAACAGACTGCAGCCCTCAATCTTCTCCCTTGCAGTTCAGAATAGATTAGATCTGGGTAATGCTACATTAATTTCAAATTTGAACATGAAAATACTTGCTTGTAATCTATCACTAAAACATAAAGGTGGTATCTTTTTAAAGAACACCAGTAATAATAATAATAATAAAAAAAACTAAAATATATATATATATATATATATAAAAAATACACAGGCTAAATATGAAAAAACAATAAGAAGCGGTAGCTGATGAATACTATTGTGAGGTGCTACTAATTAACAAGTAAAATGTTAAAAGGTGAATAAATATCTGTGGAGAGACTCTGATGCAATGGTGGGAAACTTCTTAGTTAAACAATTTGAGAATTTAGTCACTGCAAATCTTTTTCTAGGAAACAGCCATCACTCTGGTTTAAACCATTCTCATTCACACCACATAAAAACGACCGATTCCACTGTGCTGTAAAAACACCCAATTCAAGAACAGAACAATTTTCAACCAGACCACGCTCTGAAAAACACATTTTGGCAAACAGGATTCAGGAGTTGAGAAAACATTGATTTGAAGTAAACCCCAATTAAAACGTACAGATGGAGTGGAATGCATACTAAAATCATTAATGAAAAAAAATTCACTCATAAGAATCTAACTTTTGTCAGACGGTATTCTTTTCTTACTGGCCATTCCTGATGAAATTGGTCAAAAGCCCAACAGTGTCAACCAATCCCACTGGAGCACCAAAAGACAATCTTCTTCTCTTCTGACTTGCTACACATTCACTTAGTATGGGATGAAACAACCGAAGAGGCGACTCGAGAAACAACGGCAAAATTAGCAAAAAAAAAAAAAAAAAAGTCAAAATGTTCAGACAACATTTTTTTTTATGTTATCTTAGCGATGAAAATTGGGGGGGATGAAAAAAAAGTTATTTTGAATAGTAATGGCAATGATGTTATAATGCAAAATGTTTATCTGCATTTGTTGTCATTTTTACTGTCCTGTCCCACTATGTACACTCAGTCAGGGGGAAGGAGGTCATGCAGCCGAAACCGTTCACGGACATGTGGCCGCACATCCTCATTCTGTGGACGAATAACAATGGAAAAGTACAATTTGTATTTAGATATTAAAAACAAGAAATAAATATTTTTACTAGTGCTGTCAAACGATTAAAATACTTAATTGCGATTAATCACACATTTATCTATTCTAAATGTCTCTTGATTTCTTTGTCACATTATTTTTTTCTCATTTTAATGCTCTTATCAACATGGGAAAGTGGATCTAGCTAGATCGGCTTGCGCTTTGGTCGACGAAGCAACACTACGTCCTCGCGAGGCATTGAAGTGAATGGGTTTCATAGTGCAGCGCATGCCGCGTCCTGTTGCAAAAGCATGTGAAAAAACTACAAAGTTTGCTAGGCCAAAAAGACTGTTAATCCCACGATAAAAAAATTAACGCTGTTAAAATGGATTTGCGTTAACACAGGTTAATAACGCGTTTAACTTACAGACTTAATTTTCACACTTCTTTTATCACTTTTTTTAATGTATCATAGTGCTTTCTGATAATGTAAAAAAACACATCTAGGGCTGGTATCCTTAGAACAAAAATACATAAATAAAATAATGAATATTTATGGAATGTGACTTTTAATTTACCTCTGATTAAAAAGAAACTATTTATTTATGACATAGATGGATATTTATTTAAAGCAAATGTCACCAATGTGAAATGTTGAAGCTAAAGTAACAAAGGTGAAGAACACATTACAACATACCAATTCCACCAGTTTCTCCAAGAAGGGGACCAGCTTCAGAAGTTCGCTGTCATTCTTGTCCATGAACCAGCTCTCAATAGGGATCCCATTGGAGAGCTGTGGGTTTAACACATGGGTTGATTGTTTTTTTTTATAAGGATTTGGGGTATTTCTTTATTGCATAATGTTGACTATGAGCTCAGTCACACACCTGAACACTGTACTTATTACAAAAGTAACAATGAAAATGAATACTTTGCCACTTTGAATACTTTGGGGGGGGGCTTTAATATAGTATATTAAAAAAGAAGATTAATGTATATTATTTAAAAGTGTAATATACATTAAAGTGTGATCTATTAATAAATTACAAATAGACAATTAATTTGGCCTTCAAATACCTTTAAGCTTAATTAAAATCTAATTAAAAATTTTTTTTACAACTGATATGAACATGAAGTGAAGTGAAAGTGACATGTAACCTAGTGAACACACACAGTAGTGAACACACACCCGGAGCAGTCCGCAGCCGCATTTTTGTTGCGGCCCCCCGGGGAGCAATTGGAGGTTAGGTGCCTTGCTCAAGGGCACCTCAGTTGTGGGTAACAAGAGTGAAAGAGATCTCTGTTCATTTACTCATCTAACCTACATTTTCTGCTGGTACTGAGCAAGCGTGCTGCACAAGCCCTGAAAAGTAAAGACAAAACGTCTTGATGGCCCCCACATGCCCAGTCCTAGTATAGGTCATAAACCCCGCCTCCCCATGCTATTAAACGGCACGTGAGACCAACTAAACAATTAAATTATACTTCAAATACTGTCTTTCCAAAGATGATTTCTGTCATTTACTGTAGTTTTTAATCACGCTGATGTAATTTCAAGTGTTTGTTTTTAAAATAAGTTTGTTTTTAGTTCGTTTTTTGATGCGGTGATGTCATGATTGACAGCTGTGATTGACAGGTTCTCTGAGCGAGAAGTAGTCACTGAAGCACCAACAGACTTTTTCAGGGATTTTCGGAGGACTGCAGAGATTGGAGCGTTAAAAGTAATATCTTAATTTCTATAATTCACAAAAAAAAAAATTGCAGGAGCGTGTGCTTGCGACTGATTCTGCGAGAGTGAGGACGGGGCCTTGATTTTGCAGCTTTACTTCCTGCTCACTACTGCGCATGACTGGTCCCGAAATCGCTACTGCGCAGACTCAAGTTCCAAGATGTCAGCACCATATCGGGATACTGGCGGCTTCACTTCTCACACATGGAAGAGAACGAAGGGGCTCTCTCTCTTTTTTTTTTACAGTCTATGGTACTGAGACTCGAACCTCCGAATTTCAGGTTAGAAGTAACCAATGTAAAAGTACTCTCAAACCATGAGGCCACAACTGCCCCCATGTGAAAGTAATGATGCAACTTCATGCAAATTATGATTATGCAACCATGGTCTGCTCACCTGATAAGCAAAGGCTTGTGGCGAGTTATCGATAATTATAGTCTTGGACAAATCCCGTCCAAGGATATTCAGATCCTTAATGTAGTTTCCTTGCACACAAACACAGTGCTCACGAAATAATCGGTGCCTAGAACATGTTGGAAACACACACAGAGAGAAGAATGAAATAAATCTCCAGGACTAGAATCAATAATGCAGTTGAAGCAAAGGGTTGACACCTAAGGATGGTGTGGAGTTTACATGTGTCAGAGACCAAAGATCTCCATCTACCGCAATCCCTCAATTCCTCATTGTAACCAAATACTACAGAGAAACTCTGCACAGCAATGACCAAGCTGGGGCAGGGTTACTGAAAAACTGACACCCTGCCTAAATTTACATTTACTCTAATGACAAAATCTGAAAGAATTTCTAAAAGAAACAGAGGCAAACAAAGAGACAACTTGGTTTTACTTTTAACACTGTCGAGGAAAGAGTCTTCAAAATTATTACAATAAGGTAAAACAAAAAGAAGTCCACAGACCGCACCAGCTGTTTCCTCGGATCGAGAATGTTCAGCAACTTGTCTGCATAAACTTTCTTCGAGGCAGTGAAGAGAATGATCTACAAAAAAAAAGTCAACAGTCAGTCAATTATGAGAAACAGATGTCAACCCAAGCGAGGGTAAAACATTTCCATGTAACATCATTTATTTGGAGAAAAAGGATGAGATGTAATGTGGAGTAAAATGGATGAAGGCTTACCTCATAAATCTGAGACATGCGTTCAAGGAACTCTCTGAAAAATGGCCTCAATCGCACATAAACCTAACAGAAATTGTGAATTAGAATTTAGCCCCTAAGAACACAGGGTTTTAGCCCGCTAAAAAGAAGAAGAAGAAAAAACTCCTACAAAGTAATACAAATTTCAGATCACTTAACACAAGACAATAGACAAAGGACTCCCAGCTAGTTAGGTTCATTAAAAAATGGCTCTAGAGGCCCCTCTAGTGGTATGTTACTGACAAACAATGTAGACAGCTTGGATATCTTATCTACCTGATATATGACGTCTTGGAAGAGGACAGGAAAGGTTAGTGCTGCATCATCCAGCTCATTCAAGCTACAATGGACAAGGGTTTCATCCTGTAGAAAGAAAACAATTAATGATATCTATGCCAAAATGAATCCCTTGTAATAGGAGCTATTCCTCTGTGGTGTTTAAGACTGACCAGGTCAAGCACCAGGGAGAACTCAGGAGTGCTGCGAGTCTTCAGAGGGAGTGCGGGTTTGCGAGTTAGCTGCTCGTCCGTTAGCGGAGGTACATGTTTGATGAAAAAATACCTGAAAAATATATTAACATCAATGTTTGCATGTTTGAGACAAACACTTCTGAGATATCTTTTTTTCTCTCTGAGAGGGTTTCCAAATTGCCTAAAAACAAAAGCAATATTTAACTGTAATATTATTAATAAACATTCCACTTGTATGAGGGCTCAACAATATAGATCTTGTGGGGCCACATCTCACATTTGTTTATCTTGTACTTGCCGTTTTACTTCCTGTGCATTTAAAAATTTGTCACTGATTTTTGTTGTTGTTATAAATTAAATATTGTTCAATGTAACATTATAGAATGGAATAATCATTACTAACAAACAGTGTTGGGTAAGTTACTCTAAAACAGTAATTAATTACTAGTTACCAATTACCTCTTCAACAGTGTAATTAGATTACTGCACTAATTACTCTCTCTAAAAAGTATTTAATTACTAATTACTTTCAAAATCCCATATCAATCTCTACCAGCTGAATAATACACAGATAGACATGAATCTGTTTTAATTCTTTCAAATAAATACTATAAAATGGCACTAATTATGACAACGGTGGAGAAGGTTACATTATAAAAACATACTTTTTAACATCAGACAACACAATATTGTTTTATGTCTGATCTCATGACATTTCACACTTTTTTCATACATATTTTACAATAATTCATTCGAATTTGTACGAGTGTGGTCGTACGATTTAGACACCTCATAAAATGCATACGAATCGCTGTGAGATCGGATTGATCTCTATACACAGTATTTACCTCAATTACATTAGAAGTAGGGTTGCAACGGTATGAGATTTTCACGGTATGATAATCGTCTCAGAAAATATCACGGTTTCACGGTTTCACGGTATACGATATTAAAACTATCATTATTATAATCAGCATCAGCTACAATGGCCCTTAAATGAATAAAAACAGATATTGTTTTTGGTTGAACATGGTTTATTGTAACAAAGGTTTTTTCAATAGAGTCTTTATGAAATGTATATTTATTTCCTCAGAAATTCTGGGTTGTCTGAAATAACTGATCTGGATTCTGTGATTGAATACAAAATGTATTTTTGAGAATGCAATCAGATCAAATGTAACAACTTTAGTTTGTCTACACAAGAGAAGTTTAATAAATTAAAACATGGACAAAAAAACTATACACAATAGTAATATATTTTAATCATAGGCTAAACCAAACTTTTTTTTTCCAGGTTGTAGGGGAGAGCGGGGCACAACCTAACGCTTTTTGCTTTTGGCTCAATTAATTAAAAAATAATTAGGTTAGATTAATACTTTTTTTACACAAGCAACATGCACATCTCTGCTACAAATGAACACTTAAAGTTTTTTTCTAGGACCTACCATTTTCGTACAGTTGGACTGAAAGTGACAGAAGTGCAAATGTTACAACTTACCCCATATGCGGGGTTAATTGTAACAGAGAGAGGGGTTAGTTGTAACACTTGTGTGTAACACACATAATTCAGTACTATTTTATTTGTATAGTTTGATATTGTTTGTGCATCTGTATAGACAGATATCCATCCCTCATCCAATCCTCCTTCTATTATGGATCAATATCATGGATAGAGACATAGAAAAGGGCTGCATAGTTTTGCAATAAATAATAATAAATAAAATTATAAATATTGTAATTGCAATTAAATTAGATTTGTGTGTGGCAGCTGCATGATGTACAATTATTATTATTATTAATAATAACAGTAATGATAATACAAATTAGCTTAAAATAAAAATTTAAAGGGTTTATTACATTAATAACAGGCCATATTTTTTAATAAATAAACAAGTTATCATTCATAGAACACTAAATTTTAAACATTTTAAATCCCAACATTGTTTGTGAACGTCTAACAAAGTTAAATGTATACTCAAACCTGAAAAGTTGTGTGGCTCCGTTTTCATTTGATTATTATTGTACACTTGGAGGCTTAGTTGTACCACTCTGTTAGAATTAACCCCGCTGTGTATTACATATTTTAAACCTAGCTAACAGTCGCTAGGAATTGCTGACATGTTTCAAAACGGTGCTATGTTTGAGCCAACAAGACGGTGATTAAGGCAATATAAAGTTAGATTTGGAAACGTATACACCCAACTCAGAAACCGAAAAAAACCTATGATGAAAAAAATTACTTTCATGTTGTCAAAACACTCTTTGTCCAGTATCTTCACGAAATATAATCAAAACTTTCCGCAAATTCGCGGGAGACCGTCTTCTGGCAGCAAGAGAAAAATAGCGGAAAGACAGCCTGCTTGATCCTGACGAACTGCGTAAACGGTCCGTGTTACATTTAACCCCGCGTTAACACCTACTGAACACCTATGAGTTTCAGTCAGTGTATTTGATGATTATTCTTTAAAAAAATAATTATAAAGTGCACATTAAGTGTTCTCTGTCTAGATATGTTCATGTGTTCACGTCTTCGTAGTGGCTGAGACAGCTTTAAAAACCATGAGCGTCATGCGTACTTGAGTGTGTACTAGATCTACTAGACGAAACGGCGCTGCTCATTCAGAGACACGCTGAAGGGGCTTGCACACCAGTCTTTTTGCGTTGTATATTCACAGACACGCACATCGCGATTTGATTTAGGCTACTGCATAGCTATATTTTGCTTTATTTATCCATCTATCTTTTTAAATCGCACATTTTACGTGGCATCTGTTTTGTAACGCAAAAAGACGCATGTGTGCGTCTTTTTGACAGACCGGGATTCCCTCAGCATGACAGAAATAATATGGCCTTAAGTTATAAAAGTTATGAATAACCTTTATCTTCACGGAGGGATGGTGTTCCTAAATATGGGAGAACATGTTCGACGTGTTTACTCCTTTTGCAGCCACTCTTCGTCCACATATCTTGCAAACTGGATATCCATCTTCAAGGACAACATCACGATCGTTTTTCGGATACAAGTTACAAAATATTCCCATACTGCAGATTTTATTTATTTTTTTTGGCGGGAGATAGAGATTCGCAGCCTCAGTCTCGGACATTTTCAGCGCTGTACGGATATGGAGTAAGCAGTCAAGCTGAAAGAAGTTGCATGCAGCAGTGCAGGTGAATTCTGTTTTTTTTTTTTACCGCAGATAAGCAAATGTGAACGATATGATAATCGTACATGTCAATATCGTGATAAACCGCCATACCGGTATACCGTTACAACCCTAATTAGAAGTAACTGTAATTAAATTACAGATAAATGAAGAGTAATCCCTTACTTCACATTTAAGGGAAAAGTAATTAAATTACAGTTACTAATTACTTAGTAATTAGTTACACCCAACACTGCTAACAAACAGGGGGAGCAAAAATCTGAACTACTGGCTTGCCCGGGAAAGCAGAAAAGAAAATCCTTATTGTGAAGCTCTGAGCAAAAAGCACAGTCTCAGTAAATTTGAACTCACGGGTCAAACACTTCCCACTCCTCCTCATATGATCCTTCAGCTGGGACAGTAATAGAGGTGTCCACATACCCCACTGTTGCAGGAGAGCCAGGAGCTGAGATAAAACAGGACAAAGAAAATATAATGTTACAAATATATTCTTGCCTGTGTAAATATACACAAGGCTGGGGACGGTAAGATTTTTTAATTGTTTTTGAAATGTCTCTTATGCATACCAAGGCTGCTATTATTTGATCACAAATGCAGCAAGAAAGTAATAATGTTAAATATTATTACAATTTAAAATGTTACACGTTTTCTATTTTAATATATTTTAAAACATAAGCTGAACTTTCAACATCATTACTCGTCTTCAGCATCATATGATCAGAAATCATTCTAATATGATGATTTGATGCTCAAGAAACATTTCCTACTACGTCTTGTATGTTGACAATGTTGCAGCTTCATATTTTTGTGAAATGGTGACGATTATTTTTCAGGATTCTTTGATAAATACAAAGTACAAATGAACAGCATTTATTTAAAATAGAAATCTTTTTTTAGCATTATAATGTGTAATCGCTGCTAAATAAAAGTATCCATTTCTTATAAAATAAAAAACCTTATGGGACTGGGAGTGTATAATGTGTTCCCCTAAAGAGAAGTCAAACAATGTCATGTATTTCACACCTGTAAGAGGCGGCAGGTCAGAGTGGGGGGTGTTTTCACTCTCCTCTGCAGGTGTGTGAGTGGAGGATGGAGGTCTAAAGGCAGATGGCATGGCACTGGTATAGAGAGGGACACTTAGGGGCTCTCTAGATGTGGCAGTACTGGTAGGCATCTCTTCTACTTGCTCCATTTCTAGTTGCTTCACAATCTCTTCCGCCTCTACCGCCTGGCCTGGGGAATCCGAGGCTGACATGACAAGACAGGGTGTAGGTAAGGAGAAGGAAGGGTGAAAAAACATGCTGGGTTAGGCAATGTATTATTAATCTGCATTAAGTTGCAACAGTGTTTTTTTTTTTTTTTTAAATTCACAATCATCGAAATAAACATTATCTGGAATCCAAAATAACCTTTTGATATTCCCAATTGTGGAAACATACCAAACATTCACTACTGCAATTTAGTATGATTGCATTCATATCAGCAGGAGCTCACATGAATCGTACCCCAGGCCGCCCTTTTTAAGGAGACACGGGTACGGTTCGTGGGTGCACACCCGAGTTTGGAAAACAGCATTCACATCATCCAGACAAACAGAACTCTGACACCAATCAAACCCAGGTGCGCACCAAAAGTGCTAGTGTGAAAGCACCCTTAATTTCACACAAGTTGTCCTCCTGATGGGGAACCAATTTCCCTCAGGACCCAAAAGTTTCACCATGTTTTTTTTTTTTGTTCAGTAATAGTATTAACATTTTAGGCTAAACTTTCTCTCATGAACTGCTCTTTTGCGAAATGTAAATAGATATGTGTTTTTGTGATCATAGAAATACAAAGTAGCAACTCCACAGATTCTGCAAATCTGGTCACACTATCTTTTAAACATTTTGGTAAGTTTTTTTATTATAGGAATTAATCCTATATACATAAAAAGACACCTTCATTTGAAGGTGAAGAAATGTTTTATGAGTCAAGTTCATTTAAAGAAAAAAAAAAAACATGCGCACGCATACACCGAACACCACATGTACACTTGAACGATATTCTAAAATTAATAGTTGTTGGAGCATAAATGTTAATGCAGTAATGTCGCCAGAGGGAGAATCTATTTATTATTATCATTCAAATAATTTTCCATCCATTATGTCCAGAATATCTGGAACATCACATCTTTAGTGTTCGGTTCAGAGTTTCTTACCATTTTTATTTGCTGGTGAGAAGAAGTTGAAGACAGGAGAGAAGATGGTTCCAAGCAGGGTGGTGCGGGGTGGACTGTTCACAACCTCCTCAGGGTCCTCCAACTTCCCATTAGGCTTGACAGGCTTACTCGTGTCATGGTTAGTGGTTTCTATAAAACAAAGTTCAAAGAGAAAAACAAATTCACAAAAAAATAGCATAACCAAATTGCAAATTCATTTAAATGCCGAACTGCATATGTTGTTTGGGCAATAAACTATGATGACTATTGCTGTACATAGGAGTGTATGCCATTGGCAGGTGTGCGCAACCATGTTCTTGTCACATATAATCCATGTCAAGCACACAGACAGGTTTGATACTTCCAAAAGCCCTCATTTATGATAATATGGACAGTTTAAGGCATTACACTGAACAACCAACATCAAACAAATATACACAGATGCAAATATGTTTGTGTTAGAAGTGTCACAATATACCAGTATTGATGATAACCATGATAGGGTTGTCACAATATCAAAATTCCAGTAGTCGGTATTTAAGTACCAATTTAAGTACCACAGCAAAATCTGTTGGAACTATTTTACTTAAATATTTGAAAACTAAAAATGATTTGAAATAATAATTCGATTTAATAAGTTTATTATTTATGATGTTAATTATTAAAAGTAAATTTAACTGCAGCTCACAAGTACAGTGACTCACCACCATTGACGGAGCTTCTTCGACGGGCCCTGTAGATGCTTTTCCTTTGCAGGTCATTGTTCCTTTGTGGGGTGGAGGTGATCAGCTCGCAGCTCAGACGATTCCTCTTTGCTGGGTTGTCCTGCTCCACCTGTTAAACACCACCAAGCAATCACACAGGCATGAGTTTCTAGATTTGAAACACTTTAGTCTTGTGAGGAAGACACGATAGTGAGTCTTTTCGAGGAAGCTGGGGGACACTTGAACAGGACTTTCAGAGGAACAAAATATCAAAGTTATAGGCACTACATGATTAGGCTAGAAATGATTAAAACCCTATTATAAATATTATATTAAAAATCAAACTCCAATTAATCACGAACTGCTTCAAAAGACATGGGGTCTTTGAATGTTGTTGTGGACAATGGGGGTGTGATATAGAACCCAAAGAAGTGAATCTAATATCTTAAACTTACTGGACATAATGTGAATGTGAACCCCTGGTTCTTCTGCCGCAGGATGCATGCCAGTTAAAGCCAGCCCTACCTACTGTCATTATGTGAGCGCTGTGGAACCACAGCTAAAATTAGAACAGGACTGAGCTCCTCAGACAAGCAAAGGCATTCCACCACGCATTTCTGGGGGGAATATGATACCAGGTCTTGCTTGCATTCCATTATAGTACATTCTGGGCCACGATCATCAAAACCAAGAAAAGAGCTGTAGAGGTCTGGGACTGCCATACTCAATGAGCCCATAATAAACAACAGGGAGAGGGTGCTAGAGGCTCACCTTGATGGAACTTCCATGGATGAACTTCTTGATGCTGGAGAGAAGACCCTTGCTTTCACCTGAGCACTCCTCCATCTCGTCATGCTTTCGCTTGGTCCGGGCCGGGCCGGGCCTGCGGGCGAGGTTTGGCTGCTGAGAAGCCTTGCGCATTCTCAGCCTCATTTTGTTTAGAGTTACATGTAAGACTGAGGAGAGAGAGAGAGAGAGAAAAGACAATACAGAGAAGCTCATAAAAAAGGTACCACAAGAAAACAAAACTACAGAGAAAGAGAGTAACACAGGAGGAAATCACTACGTTTAACAACGACCTTGTCTAACTTTGCTCGCTGATTCTCGCACGCAGGTTAATCAATCACACTTTTAGTTGGTTTTGACGGAGTTATTATGGCTCTTTGCTCAGTTTTTTAAAAGTGCAAAACGTCAGCCAAGATCGCTAGCCACAGACATCTGAATGTATTCAAGACCCTGAGAGACACATCATTCAGTTGAAGCATCTCCATAGCGAGGCACTCTCCACTACAAGCAAATTATTTCCTACATACAGAAGAATTCTGAATGAACATACTTTTAATTAACAGGAAATCTGTGTGATTCCTTAACACAAGATTACAGATTAAGACAAACATTGAATTAAACCAGTTTTGCTCATCCAAAAATGAACATTCTGTTATCCTTTAGTCACCCTCATGCCATTACAAACCTGACTTACTTTCTTCTGTAGAACATAAGAGAAGATATTTTGAACAATGTTTCAGTTGTTAATAAATAAATAAATATACGGGACCCAGTTGACTTTCATTGTATCGACCAAAATAATAATAATAATTCTTATCATACAGGTTTGGAATGGCATGAGGGTGAGTAAATGACAATGTTCATTTTTGGATGAACTATACCTTTAAGGCCTACTTGAAGTTTGGCAAAAGTTGGCAAAATGTCACCATCTTTTTTACTCATATTTTTCTGTTGCTGGATAAGTCACTAGAAAAGAAAAAGAACTAGAGGATTTTGCAGATCAACAGAGAGCAGCAGTTTTCTTACAAGACAAAAAAAAGGAAGAAAAAAAGAGAGATGAAAAAAAGTAGAGGGAAAAAAAGTTAATATTTTCCTGATGTGGAGGAAGTGTCCCTCTTTTCTTTAAAGGAAACCCTGTACATCAAGGGGGTAAAAAATAATCCTGAAATTAACTTTAGTGCTTGGTCGTGTGTCCCCCTCCACAAAGCATGCTTGTGCAACAGCCGTTGTGTGCACCAGCATTTGTGACCTGTCAGGCTTTACGCCAGCCCTGACTGTACCTTCGCAATAAAGAAATTTAAGTCACATTAAATTTAAAATGAGGAAACACAGAAAAGAGATTTTTACAAGAGGCAAACAGAGTTTGTTCTGTAACAGCAGCATCGTGTAGTTAGCCAGAGAAGCAACGAGATGACAATGAAACATACTGCAAGCACAGAAGAGACAGGAGAGGAATGGCGAAAAGTAGAAAGAAAAGGGTACAGCTAGTAATACATCTCAGCTTTTTCCTTAACCACCAAAATGGTGACTCATGCACTGCCTCAAACAGACATCATGCCAAGACAACTACCTCACAACACTGAGGAGCTAAAGCCTTTCTTCTACAAGAACCGAAACGGTGAGAATCAACAGTCTTCAGCAGCCCAGTAAGAGTCAATGAATCTTGCTTAAAGCCAAATTCCTGGTTTAATTAAAATCAGTAGACATTAAACACCATTAATAGCATGAAGTAGTTTAAATTACGTATGATATGAAAATGCCAACAATTACTCCTTTGACCCCTTCTGACCTAGGCTGGTCCATTACAATCACTTATATACACACACACACACACACTACGTTGGTTTTTGCCATGTGACGTACAACATTCTCATTTTGCAATAATTGCTGAAGCTTTTATCACGGTATCGGTATACTAGTAGGGCGGCACGATATTGGAATTGGAAACAACTGACATTAGATAATTTTGCTTTTCTGCGATATACATTGCAATTTGCAAACAAATCCACTTCCACCAGATAATTTGAATAGCTCTATTTGTAAAGAATTAATAATCCTAGGTTGATTGAGGTAATTTTGTAGGGCAGTGTGCATATGCATAAAAAAATAAGCAGTGCTTAATGTTGTTTGGGTAAATTAACTGCATTTAGGTATTCGATATTATTGCGATATTTGGGCCACGATTCAATATTATTGTGATTCTTAACATATTGTGATACAGCAAGTATTGCGATTCTGTGATATATTGCGATTCATGTCCCCCATTTTATTCAAAGGCATTACAAAAAATGAGGAAAATAAGACTGCTCAACTCACCTCAAATGTCACATTTAATTCTGTGAACATTATCTTCTACACATTAACTGAGGTGCAAAAAATTGTCACTGAACATTCAGGACACAAGACCTTATTACAGGACAGGAAATAATTATTCTCTGAATAGGAGACCTCTCACATGAATGGTGAGCTCCCAGCACATAACTTAAAATTATTTTTATTCCAATAGAGTAACAAAGCAGACTTAATAGAGTAACATAAACTTGGAAATATAATCATATAAATAATGTCAAGGTCTTTACCATTTGCTGTTGAAAACCGAAATTTACCCACACTTTCGATTTGAAAGAAGGCGAAGCGTCGTGTAATGGTGAAGCCATTTTCATTTGAATTTGTTGAATTCACACCAACAAAGCACCGCAACAAGCGGCACCTTGTGGATGTAAACACAGAGAAAACCAATGGAGAAAACAGAAAGTAAAACAGATAACTTTATAATTAAATACTGCAATACTTGGCGCCAGTGCTGCACGAAATAATCATATTGCAATCGAAATCACGCCGTCAAACCTTTGCAGTTATAGGATGCAAAATTATGTGATTTTATATGAAATAAACAAATTAGGTCTGTTAACGTAGCATCTGTTCATTTTCTGTGTTAACTCTTTTGTGGTGTTACATGTATGTCTAAGTTACATGATAGTGTTACACGATCCTGCTCTTATTCATGCAAACGCTTAAACCATTCATGCGCGACAAAACAAAAAAGATTGCGTTGACTGTGACACACACAAACACACAGAGAAAGACAGGTGACAGTTTTGTGTGTGCGCACAAGACGGCACACCAGGTTCTCTTCCGCGCTTAAACGAACAAGAACACACACAATTATGCCAAAATGTATTGTAGAGTATCTAAATAACATAAGAGCATTCTTATGATGACCGTCAAGAATTGTGACTCATGAGAGAATCAGGCGCGTGATCTGTGTCTCTGTCAGCAGCGGCTGCTCTTAAAGGGACAGTACACAGTAGCCACTACTTATCTCTGTCATTAAAGTTAATCAAAGAACAAATAGAACAGAGAAAAACACTCACTGCTCTTGACTAAAGAATTTTTGTAATTTTAATAAGGATTATTCAATTTATAATGTTTGCAGTGCAGACAATTCCTGTAATATAGCATTAGCACCAGAACACTGCTGTATACCCTTGGCCTTGCAGTGGTCACTGCTTAGAAGTGCAACATTGTAAAGAGCCCGTCTGAACTGACCATCAGCGCGCAATGCGCGTGACGTGTACGTTTGTTAATGCGAAAAAAGTGTCTGGAGGAAAAACATTGTAGCCGGAGCTGCTTTTCTTAAATTGTTTTCTTATAACAAAAAGAACTTAACATTTAAATACAGTAGCTGGGATTCCATCCAAACGTGAAGCGAATCTTTTCAAATTTGCAAAAAAGTTTCCATCATATTGTTTAAGCGCATGACGGTGGTATTAGTAAGCAACAAAAAATAAAACACCATCAGCGGAAACAGTAGTGATATGTCGTTTGGCTCCTTCCAGTAAACGGTGAGACTCGGTTCCCGTCTGAGAGCCATTTTCCCTTTTTGTATATTAATACAAGACAGAAAATTTTCACTACACTGCTCAGTCACATAATCTAGTCACTCACTGAATGTTATTTTAATGTATATGTGCGTGTGAACACATGTGATGATTGTTTACATATCGGCATGTTGTCATTAATTTTACTCTATCCTATTCCTATATTTTGTATTTTACTTTTATATTTTACTTGAGCTGCTGTAACAAAGGAATTTCCCCAGTGTGGGATCAATAAAGTCTATCTAATTAATTACCCCGCTGCTCTCGAATCGTCGCCCATACAGTAGGAAACACATTAACAAAACATGGAGTGTGTGTGGTCAATCAGTGTGGATGATCATAATTAAGCGGGTGGCCGTGGGTTGTCTACATGTAGGGTGTCTAAAAACCAGAAGGTTGGTGGATCAATCCCCGATTCTACCTGACCAAGTGTTCAGGTGTCCATGAGCAAGACACTGAACCCCAGATACTCCCGACGAGCTGGATGGCGTCTTGCATGGGATGAATGAAAGTGTAGAAACATGTAGAGCGCTTTGGTGGCCATTGGGTCTGTGAAAGCGCTACATAAATGCAGTCCATTTACCATCGAGTCAGAAAACAAGATGCTAATGAAGTAGCATTTGGATGCTTTTTAATAATAGACTAAAATAAAAGCAGCATGTAGAATTTCGAAGATAAAACTATCATATCAAGCAGGGACTAAAAAACCTTTAACAAATCTGGCATTAGACATGACTTGAACTACTGCCTCTAGTCTCCAAGAATTTGTGTTGCAAGTGCCAGAGTGGCACACCTGAAATAAATGCACTATAAGTACTGCTTGATTCTGTCTGTTTGTTACCAACACCCTGATGAAGGCCAGTGGGCCGATACGCATTGGTGTTTTTTTTAATGGTGTAGCCCTCGACTAACAATAATAAAGGCTTTTATAACTTTCGTAACCTACTCAGTGCCTGGACTTGCATTTTTTTCCCAATTTTTATGAACATTTGATTTAACCCTTCCAAGAGCACAGAGGATACAAGGGACACCAGCAGCGCTCCAGCTTCCTTTTGTTTAACCGCATAAATGTGTTTCGTTTTAAGTGTGATTTGCTAGGAATGGTTTTATTTTGGATAAAATGTTCAATACACGTGTATTAGTATTTGATAAGTGTAATAGTGTTTTACATTAGCCTATGTGTGTGTTTTTTTTTACTTCTTATTACAGAAGTGAGCCAAATTATCCAGTTCCCTAAATGAGCAGGAATTCCCATCATGAACAGCTGATTTACTCTGGCTCTGCCCTCCTACGTACTTCCGCTCAATTTTAATTTTCCTTCAGTACTACGTCTGGGTTTGCTGTATATTCTTGGGTTTTCTCCAATCAATTTTTTACAGGTCCAATCAGCGAGCAGAGGGAGTGGCTGAGAATGATGACATTGAGGTGCGCTAGTTTGAGTTGTACATACTGTATATGTCACGACCAAACGTTAGCAGTTGGTTATGGCAGATCCAGAGATTGACTCTGCTGAAGTTTAAAACTATTGATTCTGCCCAGAGTACCCACCTTCAAGTAAGTTAAAAGTCAATAAGGAGTGGCCAGACTCTGAAAATTAAATGTGTACGAGAGTCTGGTAGGACCAGGCTACAGCCGATTAGCTACGAGAGTTTAAAGTTCGCTACGTCACAATTTATTTGTTTACATCTCCCGTTATTCATTTCAACTTTTTTTTTTTGCAAATTAAGTTTTTATCCCCTGAAATTTGGCATTTCCAACTTTCCATCACTCGTTTCTGATGAGATACTTTAAAATGCACATAAAAACAGGGTGATGGAACCATAGCTAATAAAGCTATACACAAAAAGATATAAAAGTAATCAAATGTTTTAAACAGAATAAAGTGCAAAAGAATTATAAAACAATAGGTAACACTTTACAATAAGGTCTCGGTAGTTAACATTAAAGCATTGCATGTTCATTATTGTGATATCGTATTACAGACGTATAGCACCAACACGTCTAGTTGGTCTGAAACAAAAAAACAACAACAAAAAAGCATTGACACACTGGCAGCAAATCCAAGGCTACTGACATATGTCCAAGAAATGATCGCCAAGGCTCAGTTTGACTCTGACATATATTAAAATTACTATTATTTCTCTAAGAAATGTCAATCTTCATAGATTAAGTACACTATAAACCGGAAAGTCTAATTCGTTATTTAATGGCATTCGCATGGCATGTCAAAGAACACCACAAAATGCTTCACTATAGCTACCATTGCACTTTGCTGGTAACCTGTCCCATTACAGCTGGACAACTGTAATGCTTCTCTTCTCAACTGGGGAACCTGGGCCCACTAACAGGGATAAGTTAAACTCTAACGGGAAACAACATGTCTTAAAAAGTATGTAACATTTTGACTTGCACTGTCAGTATTTTTTTTTATTTTCATATTTCAGTTTTAATTTGAGTAGTTTTGTTATGTGCATCTTATTAATCAATTTTCAAATACGTATCTCTATCAGTGAAATTTATTCTTATTTTAGTTTTAGTCATTTTAGTACTTAAACTTATTTCAGTTTGTTACCAAGGCAAGTTTTTCTTCCCCATCTAATATTTATTTATTTTAGCAATATTTCAATTAGCAAAAAATATTTACAAATCAGCTGAACTTCAAGAACACAAACTTAAAAGCGGCATGGATAGCATCAATTTTGCATTTGTAAATTTCGCTTTTTTCCTTATAAAAAGGAAAAACACATCAAAATATTGTCTAATTGTTTTATTACCTTAACTTCTCATAACAATAATTAAAAAGGGTTTGGAAACAAGCATCTTATTGCATTATAAGTACAAGAAGAAGAAAAAAACATCCTCTGTTAGGGGCCTTCAAATATTGACATGACAATGGGGAACCCTTGCAGTGATAATGGTTGCGAACCACAGCCCAACAGTCAACTAAAACTACAGCCAGTCTTTAAAAAGGAGGAAAAGAAAAGACAAAGTGATTCCCCGCCATAACCGATCAACTTCAACAGAACACACTTCAGAAATGATGAAGTTCAGTGATTCACGTGAAACCTGAACAGTGTCGTGGTGGGCGGGAAACACACGCTTAAAGAGATTCTCTACGGAAGACGAGCAACTTTCTTACGATTTCCCTGTTCAGTCAGACATTAAGAACAACTGTTTACACAACGATTACACGCCTTAAGAGCCTACAATGTGAACTGTATTTTTTACATAGAGCAATCGCTCTTGACACATCTGTGCATGTCTATCTATTTTCAATGTAGGACACAAGCAATCCTTCTCTTCGTAGTAAACCTGTTTCTCGTGACCCGCTATTACTAGAAGAAGCCTCTAGTCTAGTGCCACTCAAAACAACCGGCTGCACTCTAATGACAGATAAAGCGCGGGAACGACTGGCGAAGACGGCAGCTGCTGCCTGTCCGTGCGTGCATATAACGTTAGGTAAAACAGGAGCGAGCCGAACCATAGCGAAACATTTTCGACCGGAGTGAACGGACGGGGTGTTATGGGGGGACCCTATCACCACATGCAATTTAGACTGGGGTAATAACTTACTGGACGAAACTCCGCGGGATCGAGTCGCAAGACAACGGTCGATTTCAGAGCTGCTGACACTTGCTGTTGTTTGCGTGCCTCTTCAGACGAGGTTCACCTCTGTCCTCTCCGCACCTCTGGACGCCATTTCCCGCCTCCGTACCCACACAGTCAACTGCAGGTACCCGGATGAAGAGAGGACTGGAGCGAGCATGCGTCCTGCGGCGCGCGTCCCACACCCCTTTCTGTTGTTCTGAGTATCAAAACAATATTGAGGCTTCGCAGTGCGACAGGTTTCGCTTACTGTGTCTATTTAAAACACAATCACACACTATAGGTAAATGTGCTGTAAATAAAAACGCAGAGCGAAGAGAGTAACGTTAATTCCGCTAGCATTTTTCAAGCAAACTAACAAAGATATCAGGAGGCAGAAGGGAATGTGTCTCTGATGAATTCGTGTATGGCAACACACCAAAGGTAGCAGACTAAGCTACCAACTGTATGCTAGCATAAACATCGGATTTACTTGAGCGTTTACTTGAGATCAACAAGAAAACGGTTAAAAAAATAAATAAATAAAAATAGAACGAGCGCGCGGTGTATGATATGAGAAGGGAAGGCACGTTCTGGTTGTCATGGCAATATCGTTACGAGGAAGAGAATTTTTAGTTCCATTATACTTCAGATGCCATCACATGATACGAGGGCATTCCCTATAAATATATACGAATATCTAAGAAAAAAAATAAATGTGGGGAATACAGTATACATAACAACTAAACAGATACAATCTAATCATTCGTATGAATTCACAAACGATATTCCTTTGTTGAGCGAAAAACGAAATGCCACCAATCAGTAAAACTACAGAAAAAAATCGTTTATTGTTACAGTAATGTAGTCATTTGTTTGTAAAGCAGCCTGGGATAAATTAATGAAGATTTCTGGGTGCTCTTTTTGATGCTACTACTTTCAATACTTCAGTCACAGTGATACAACGTGTAGCCTACTTTTTCCAAAACAGGACCAGTTAATTTGAAATATAAAGAATTTTGTTAATCGTTAACCCTTGCACTGCACAGCTGTGTAAGAGAGCCCAAACACCCATGTGGCAGATTTCAAAAACAATCACAAGCTATAGGACTACATTCAGTATGCCAACCCTATACATTTGCTTGATTATGAAACAAACACAAACAGTTAGGTATATGATCATTATTTCCATTTGAGTTTAGCAAATATACAGCATCTCATCACACAGATTCCTCATCATATTGTAGTGCACATCTACCAGTAAGAAAGGAAGCAGGCTGACAGCTTTGATGAGTTTAGTCTTGAGTATTGCTTTTTTTTCCATTTCTTGATCTACAGGCTGATTTACAAAGGCTACCTTTTGCATGCAACAATGTCCGTACAAAACTCAATACACACTCTTAAGTGCTCCTTCAGAAAACAGTAGTTGAAAAAAAAAAAAAAGATTATTGTCTGGCCATTTAGTGTCATTTTGTACAAGAGAGGTTCAAAGTTGAACAGCAACTTAATTGCATCTTCCCATTGTTTACACTTGCATTTAGCAACAGTTGTCCAAAAAGATAAAGGGAGATTTAGCTTTTCAGCAAAAAAAAAAAAAAAAAAAAAAAACTGGTGTTCTAGAGGTCCTTTCCACCAGTAATATCACTATGTTCCACTTTGTGAATCCCACAGAGAATAATTATTTCTGTATTATCTAGTATTCACAGTCACGTCCTCCATTGCCTAAAGGCAGCATTTTATTACCCCACCAAAAAAAAAAAGAAAAAGAAAAAAAAAAATACAAAGAAAGACATTTGTACAAAATAATAGTTCCAAAACCTCTGTTAGACATGTGCTACAGATGGGGACAAGAAAAACAAACATGAAAACAATACTCTCAAATCAAGCAAACATTTGCAGAAGATCATGAAATCGCTTTGTCGCATTTAAGTTGAAAAAAATCTCACCCACAGTCATTGATTTCACAGTCGTAACCGCTGAAACTTGTTCGTCTCTGAAGACTGAAATAGTTTGAATAGTCTGAATGTCTCCAATTGTAAATGATACCAAAATCACAACTGAAATCCAAAGTTCTTTTTCATCTCTTGGCTACTTCATTGTCAGAAACATCCAAAGCTCAAATGTATGGGATTTTTGAGACAGGACGGGACTACAGCACATCAATGGCTTGATGTCGCTTTCCGTAATCCACAGCCCTTTCACCTGGAGCTTCCCGGTCTTCATCGTCTGAAAGATACAAGAAGGATGATTACAATTTATTGTTTATAAATAACAACAACGGCTGACTAGCTAACTACTTTAACTTTCACGGCTTTAAGAATATATACCCAACTTTCAAAGAAACATTCAAACTAATAACAGTGAAAGCTACTAAAGCCACATGCACACTGCAAAGTGTTGGGAGTGACAACCACATTTGAATGAATGAATTGCGTAAACTATTTTGTGTTCATACAGAAAACAGGGGTTATTCTGCCAGAAAAGGCAGTGTTTGTTTTGTGCATATTTTATATAAATGCGGTTGTCACTGCCTGATCTTTTAGGTTTACGAACAGTTTTTAAGTCTCTAGTTGGTAATAATTATTTACTCAAAAATGGCTATGCTTAATATTTACAGCTTCCAACACGTTTCTATGGTTATCACTATATCGACTGTGGCTGCATAATACTGAAGAAAGATGTGATACAATAATGCTCCAAGTGTGTAAAATAAATGTAATCTTATATTTAAATATATTTAAAAACTGAAAATTATTTAACGAAAAGTATTATGTTTCACAACAACTTCTAAAGGGAACAGCAGTGTTTTACTGTAATATTTACAAAAACAAATACAAAGTAATGTTAAATCTCAGAAAGTCATTTTAATATCAATGCAGAAAAAAAAAACTAGAAACTGGTGTGTCCAAACGGTCAACGTTTCTAATGATTTTATTAATATTTTCGTATTAAAGAATTACAAATTTATTAAAATGTTTCATAAAGGTTTAACAGTATTTTTAACTGAGAAAGTGCACACTCTGACTACAACCTTTGGTCACTTCTCTAATTACAGGACTCCTCCCCCTTGTAAAGTAAAAAATGCAGTTCTGTATTTTAGTTAGTCAGACGATGTTGGAATGACTGCAGCTACCGGCAATAAAGAACTTCTGTATGGAAAATGTCCATTGTCTCCTGGTCTCCTCAGCTTCTAACTTTTCTATAAGGAAAAATGTCCTCACAAACCTCCATTCATATATTCAAGTATTTATTTATTATTGTTACTCATTTACACTTATCTTTTATTCTGTTTGATTCATTAGTATTCTCCAAGAATATGCATGTTGTACTCACATGTGCATATACAAGATATACATCTTAGTTACTTGTGTTTTGTTAAATATTGGACGCATTCCAAGGTGAGGTGTCAAAACCACACCTTTATCTATTTTTATCCATCTTTGCAACCATAGCATTTGACCGGTCACTCCGACCTAGCCGTTACACCAACTTAATGACATTATGGATAAGTCCGTTTGACCTTTTCTTACCAAAAAAGTTTAGGAGGATACAAGTTTTCCAGAGTATATATATTGTTCTTATTTTGTTGTTGTTCTACTTTTTTTATATTCTGCAAACATTTTATTTCATTTTCATTACTTCATTTGGACCTTTCTCAATACTCCGATCTTCACAAACATCATGTTTAGGGCTGTCAAACGATTTATCGCATCCAAAATAAAAGTTTGAGTCTACATAATATATGTGGGTGCACTGTGTATAATTATTTTGTATATATATATATATATATATATATATATAAATACACATACATGCATGTATATGTAGGAAAAAAATATTATTTATATATAAAATATTTATATATAATATAAATTATATATAAATCTATATACAGTAAATACATGAAAATATTTCTTAAATATATACAAGCATGTGTGTGTATTTATATATATAAAATAATTATACAAAGTGCACTCACATATATTTTGTAAACACAAACTTTTATTTTGACAGCCCTAATCATGTTACAAGTCAAGTCACCTTCATGTATATAGTGCTTTTAACAATATAGACTGTTTCAAAGCAGCTTTACAGTGATAATAGGAAATTAAAGTAACAGATTGTTTTGGCTTTATGGCAGCTCTAGAATAAAGTTATTGTACAGCTAAAGTTAGTTTTGATTGATTCACTTCTGTTGCAAAGATCATAAGTTAACCTTTCCAACAGAAAACCCTAAAACGTGCTCCGGCCCACTCATTCGCACAACAACAGTGCCTGGTGGCTCGAGAACGCAAAACCTGAAATAGGTTCCAAGGTGCAAACCTTGGAGGAAAAAAGAAAGAAAAAAAAGGGAGAAAAAAAGTCTCAACACAAACCTGCGAAAACGCTGATGGCGTGCACATGCGTATTACGTGTTTATATGTGCATGTACACAGGCATGTAGCATTTCTTTACAAATTGACCTCAACAAATTAATTGTCTGGCCCTAATTTATAACACAGAATGATGTATTGCTTTCATGTAGCCATATGAACTAGAATTATTTTGACAGCATTTAAATTTAATCTTATTTATACACAATACTTTGGATATTAATTCTTAGATTTACCTTATTTGCTACATTTTCATATTATATTTATATAAATAATTATATTTATAATTCCTTATTCAAATTTGATCTCCAACATTATCATTGCTTGTCTGCCTTGATCTCACAACATCAAAAAAACAAAAATATCTGAAACAGAGTTTAGTTTACTGTATTGCCTTCCTCCTATTGTCTTTCCTCGTGTGACTAGCTTACTTGACCAGTTTGCTATGAGAGCATCACAATAGCTTGTTAATTGTCTCCTCTAAATTATCAGTGTACACACTCGTGCGTGCACACACACAAACGCTTAGTTTATTCTCTGCTACCTGTTTTGACCTGAAACAGACTTTTCACCAGTATAAAATTTCCTGTTATCACAAAAACACTGCCTATGTTGAAATATCACACAGCCATAATATCAACTATGGCAGATAAAGACAGAATTTACAGAATGTATTCTTGCAGTTGTCAATCCCTAAACTTTGCATTGTGAAGATGGTGTATGAGATGTAGGGTTTACAATTGTCATAAGTGTTAAGCGATACAGGCAAGTATAATAAAATTTGGCAAGATGAAATAAGATGGCCAAGTCTACAATTAATAGTGATTTCGAAGTAGCCCATTTAAAACCCCAAGCCCAAGTAAAAAGGATTCAACACAGCATTACGGCTTTCACATGCACTGACAACACAATAACTCTACACACTAGCACGCTGATTAGTAAAGACAATGACTGGAAGAGCTGAATGAGGCATGCTGGGAGAGAAGGTTCAGTCTCATAACCACATGGTCCAGAAAGGTTAAGGATCTCACACTCATATCTTTCTCTCTCATCCACACATGCTTTCAGCACACTGAGGTGAGGGTTTTCGCCTGTGATCGACGCCTTCCACAAGCATTAGGCCAAATTAACAGACAGTACTTCAGTATGCTGTGAGCCCATGATGACTGAACCAGCAGCTTAATAAAGCAGAACAGCACCAGCACAAGGGAGAGGGAGAGGAGATGGAATAGCAAAGTAGTCACAATCCCCCTGGCTCACCTTGGACGTCTTCCTCCCCACCATCACCATCCTCTTCCTCATTGTAGGCCAGCTCAGCCTGCTTGTCCGCCTCATACTCACCTACGTTGCCATCGTCCCCGTTATAGTCCGCTAGCTTATTGCCGTGTTGCGGATCTACAGGGGACTCATTTTCATCAAAGAAACGGCCTGCAGGGGCAGAGATGCGCCCCATCAGGAAAGAGAGAAAGAAAGAAAATAGGGGGGGGGAAAGGAACAAGCAAAATTTGAAAGAGTTAAAAGACAAGGGCATTAAAGGGAAAAGGAAAAGAAAGAAAAGAACGGCAAACAGATCAGAAGCATAATTAAGACAATAAAGAGCAAAGAGAGGACAATGAGACTACACTGAAAGTAACAAGGTATATGCCGTATTTTAGCTCCGAACTTCAGGAAATAAAATCTCAGAGGACAAGTGAGGAATGGAGCTGGTGGTAGAGGACTTTATACAGAAGAAAGGAAGGCTGGGTGGGATGGGGAACATGGTGGTGTGGAGGAGTTCAGCAGAGGGAGCAAAGTCAGGCAGCGCAGTAATCAGCAGAGAACCCAATCTACTAAAAACATTACATTACTGCTTGATTTTATGCTTCCTGCTTGCCCAGATAGCCCAAATAGTAGTAATTTTATAAAGACAAAAGTATTCTACTTGGGAGAAAAAGACGATGAAGAGTAATTTTTTTGTGCCCTGTAATTTAATCCTTACTGCCTGCTTAGTAAGTATGTGTGTATGTCAGATACTGACAAATGCCCAAATGTAGGACACAAATATACCTCATGGGGATTCATTTAATGCTGTGAACTGGCTTGAATGGTGCCAGCTTCTGCTGCATCAAACCCCAGTCAAAGTCTTAAAGAGATAGTTACCCAAAAATGAAAAGCACTTACTCACCCGTTTGTAATTTTTAAACCATATTCATTTATCTTACATGGAACACAAAAGCTGGAAATTATATTTTTCTCAATTTGTGTTCTAGGCAACAAAGCTTAAAATCAGGGTTTGAATGACAATGTATGTGTGATATATTCTTTTAAGATGGGAGATCCTATATACATGAAAGTAACCCATTTAACCTTTATGGAAACCACCAAATGATAACATACATGAAAGTGAAGACTGAGGTTCAGAGAATCTGGGAATATCAGTATCCGGTTGTTAAGTCTGAAGTGTAGGTTCAAATTTTCTATGAGATGCTAATGGTGCTAAATTACACTCACGGTGTGCTGTTGTACTGCCAAAAAAAAAAAACGGATCATACCTTCATCTACATACTGAAATTTCAGATGGCCAGACAGTGATTCATCTTTTCTGAATTTTTAAATTAACCGGGACGCTATGAGCTGGGGTGAGAATCTCTGCATCTCACGATTCGATTACGATTCAGAGGGCTGCGATTTGATGCTAAAGCGATAATTGATTACCTAAATCTTTTGTGTGTGTGTGTGACTATAAATACTTTGATTGAAAAGTATAAATTAATGACCCTTAAAGAATTAATGTACAATATATTTTATTAACAGTGTAAAGAACCAACAGGAAAATAAATGTGTGCATAAACTAGCAACATACTAGTAAATTAATAATATAACAACGACCGGTACAGCCGAGTGTTTTTCCTCCTCTGGGTGGAAACATGTCATATGGCTTCTCATATTTGTTGTGTTTCCGTTTTGTTGTGTTTTTGATTCTACAAAGCTTACAAATAGTGTGGCTCTTGTCCAGCTCCTTTCTCCCTTCAACTTCAGAAGCCAAAATATTTCCACACGTCAGCTTTTAACGAGGGTGTTTGGATTTCGCGCTCAGCCATCGGGTTTCTGTTATGTGCACGCCACAGACGGTCCGGCCACTGCACTTCCACGCTTCAGAGTTCCCTCTTTTGCGTTCCATCAATATTATGTCGGAGTGACCGGTCAGGTCATTATTATTTATAAACTTTTTTTTTTTTTCTGAGAATCGATTTTTGACATTTGTGAATCGATTCAGAATCGTACATGTCCGCATCACGAAGCATCTAAGATTCGATTTTTTTACCCCACCCCTAAAATGAGCCCGGAGACTGTAGTGTGTATGTACTGTAAATGAACAGAGCACATAAAAAGCAGTTGAGACTCAGTATTCTCACTTGAAAGAGAGTTGTACCCCAAAACAGTATTTGATACCTCACGACATAACAAGAGGATGGCTGACGATTTGCCTTGTCATCTTTAGAAACAGCCACAGCCCCATCCCCAGTCCCCACCCCTGTACGGTTTAATACTCACTCTGACGGTGACGCGGGGGGTCAGCGTGCACAGGTTCTCTGCCATTGTGCAGGTCAATGGGTTTGGGAAGAACCTGAGCCGGGTTAGGAGGAGGAGGAAGTACAACTCCCTCTGCCTTCAAGCCTTCAGCTAATAAAAAAAAGGACAGAAAGGGCACTTGACATTAAAGAGATATATTTCCGTAAGTGGAGAGTGTTATATGACAGCATGCCTCTAATCTCCATTATTTCCTGGTGAAAAACAGTGAAAGTAAAAACAAACTTCAATAATGACATGGGAAATAAACAGGCTCATGAGATAGGCCCAAAAGATACACAGAATTGCTACTACTAATAAAAAAACAAAAAGCATGGCTTCCCCAGTAAGGAAAAATCAGGGGCCACACACAAATACAAGAACAGAACTATCACATTTGTAACAAACAATAATTGAAAAGTGTTATAAGCATTGATAAAACATGACCTCTAACCTCCCAGCTGTCTGCGCTGCTCCCCAAACTCATCTGCCTTTATGCCTGCTTTATTATCTTCGTCAAACAGCATGGGTCTGTCAACCACTGCTTTTGGAACCTGCTGCAGCACAGGGGCGTCATGGTTCCCCAAACGCAGGTTTTCATCATGGGGTATGTCTGGTCGGTCCAGCAGTTGCCCATTGGCCAAATCATCCCCTGGTCTGGCACCGGCTCCAGCTCCAGCTCCAAACCCTGCCCTCTCCTCCTTCAGCAGTGCCGCAGCCTCCGCCGGCTCCATGTGTTTTTGCGGCGTGATGGCTGGCTTCTTTAAGGCTGGAGAAACATTAAATGTATCTCTGAATGAAGTAACTGACATGCACCCTTATTTTAAGCATGCTGTAGAGTTTATTCACTCTGTTACTGGTCAGCACTGAACAAAGATGACTTGTTGGTTCAATGAAATCTTCAAAAAAGATGTGTGATACTCACCAAACTGTCCATCTTCTATCTTGCCCACTTCACTGTCCTCAATGCCAGGCATTCCAGCATCGCTACCAGGTTTAACCATATCATCTTGAATGTGATAGAAAAAAGCAAGAGAGGTCAAAAGGGTTTTTTTCCCCAAACAAAATGTATATGTATCTGCTTGGGGTGTAACGATATTCAAACCGAACCAAAAAACCCACGATACGTATCGCGATACACTCAAGGCGTACCGAACACACCCCTGCCCCAGCGCTGGCTCATTGGACCTCATGTCTTATGTACACAACAAATTCAGTGTTATAGCCTAAACAGCATTAACACCATATATGTTTTGTTACTTTCGATAATAAGCAAGATGTAATCTCTCAAATTCCGTCTATTTGATCACAACATTCAAACAATAGAGATACAGTATTTTTACTGAAAGGCCTCAAAACTCGTGTAATCGTGCAGCGGAGTTAGTTTGTCACATAGGATATTTACCTCAGCAGAAGTCATTCAGTGTCCACAGCTTGCTTGTTCCTAGAGAAATTAACTCTTGCACTAAATAAATGCACTATATTAGCCTATAAATTATATTTTACTTAACCTGTTAATGATATCTTGATTATTTAATTCACGTTTAAAATATCTTTCATGAAAATGACAGCAACTGTTTACAAATGATCAATAACGAATTAGAGTAAAAACATAAGATAATGCACAAACTGCCTTTTGTCCAGTTTACATAAAATATGTGGAGTGTTGATTATATCTAAAATATAAATAGCATCTAAATTAAAGCTAAAAGTCTATGCTCTGTCTGTTGTTAACCTTTAATATTAAAGTAATGTGCGGGATCTTTTTTTTTTGCAGATCCTTGAGAAACAATTAATTGTAACTGAATTAATTTAAAGACAGACACATTTTTTCATTAATCCACTGTTAAAAAAACAACAACAAAATAAGCAATTTTATTTTTTCTAAACCCCACCACCTCACCGAACTGAGATGTCAAAACCGTGGGAAGTACCGAACCGACAGTATTGTGTATCGTTACACCCCTAGTATCTGCACATTGGCTTTTTTTCTGCTACCTTTAGGAACTGGGCCATCATTTCGCTGTGCAGCCACTGTGTGGCGCTCTGCGATGTCCTCTTTTCTTTTGTTGGGCTGATCAAGATCCACCTCCACCTGCCGAACCCCTGGATCCGCTTTACGATTCTCTAATAAACTCTGAAATGCAAGATTTTTTTTGTTGTTTTGGTGAAGTTTGTGATTTAAAGGGATAGTTCACCCAAAAATTTTAATTACCCCATGATTTACTCACCCTGAAGCCATCCTAGGTGTATATGACATTCTTCTTTCAGACGAATACAATTCAGAGTTATTTAAAAAAAAAAATGTCCTGGCTCTTCCAAGCTTTATAATGGCCGGTTACAGAGTCCATAAAAGTGCATCCATCATGATAAAAGTAATCCAGACGGGTCTGGGGGGTTAGTAAAGGGCTTCTGAAGCGATGCGATCATGTAAGGAAAATACCCACATCCTACGTCATACATTGTCAAATGTTAGTCTTTTGGCTTGAGTCGATTTGTGTAGGCAGTCTGCCGGAAGCTAGTTAAGTTAAGTTTTAAATGTGGATATTTTTCTTACACGAACACATTGCTTCGCTTCAGAAGGTCTTTATTAGGGTTATTATAAGAGCCAGGACTTTTTATTTAACTTGGATTGTATTTGTCTCAAAAAAGAATGTCATATACTCCTAGGATGGCTTGAGGGTGAGTATATCATGAGGTGATTTTCATTTAATACTGATACTGTGAAGCTGCTTTGATGCAATCTATATTGTGAAAAGCGCTATATAAATATACTTGACTTGAATTAAGACAAGCCAGAGTTTACACTTTCAAATTCAAATCATTCACAGCATACCTGTCTGAGTTTTGCTGCCTCTTCTTCCGCTCTTTTCTTGTTTTCCTCATATTCTGCCTTCAGCTCTGTGATTTGTCTGCCACACTGCAAGCTGCAATGAATGTTACTTTTATATTATACATGATCAACTTGTCAAACATCTTAACCATTATTACCAAATGTGGGAATAGAAATGCACAGAAGACCAGAGTACTTCTTCTGGGTCAGGGAGAGTTCACCAGTGCTTGTATTCACCTCTCATATTCCAGCTTCTTCTCCAGATTGGTGCTGTTTTTCCGCACTTCCCTCAGCTGGTCTTCTTGTCGGATGATCTCCCGTCTCAACTCTTTTACCTGTTCTGTAAATGTACACGCAAACATGACTACATACCCCAAATCAGCAGTCAAACACACCACAATCTAAAAAAATAAAATCAGCTAACGGAACACCACGATTGGTTACATCAAGGTGGAGTAGGAAGAAACAACCCAACCATACAAAAACAGCGCTACTTGCATATTCCACAACAATCCTATTTCACTGACAAAGACGTGAAGCTGGGAAATAGCACCCTCTTGTGTGCACTTCTTACCTTTCAGTCTGTGAATCTCGGACATCTGGGCGCTGACATCATTCTGCAGCTTATTCTGAAAAATACAAAAATAGAGTGAAGACAGGAATAGAGTAATATACAAAACATACTTTAAGAATATATAATGACCTATGTCATGTGACTGTTTAAGGGCTTATCCTGGAAAAACGAAACTATTTTTTTTTGTTCTCATAGATTTTCACTTTCCCTTAATTTCTAATCTTAACTTCAACTACCCAAACGGATCAATGTTTGATTATTATATCCACAGTCAACAAATCACATTTGTAGCTATGGTTGAATAATCTCTAAAACTTAACTTTACACAACCATTCAAAAGTTTTGTGTCAGTAAGATTTTTTTTTAATGATTTTGAATGTCTATTATGCTTACCAAGGCGGAATTTATTATACAGTATTATTATGAAATATCTATTTCCTGTAGGTAAATGTCCAATATTATTATATTTTAAACTGTAATTTATTCCTGTAATGGATTTGATGGTAAAGCAGAATTCACACAATCCTCCAGAAATTGCAACAAGGAATATTTCTCATTATTATAAATGTTGGAGAACTATTCCTGCCACCCAAACATGAACGTTTTGTCATCACTTACTCACCCGCATGTTGTTCCAAAACTGTACAAGTTTATTTCTTCAAAAGATGATATGTTAAAGAATGTTGGGAAACAGACAGTTGGTGGTAGCCATTGACTTCCATAGTATTTGTTTTTTTTCCTACTATGGAAGTAGGACTTGAGGGTCAGTAAACGACGGGTGGGAGCATTTTCAGGATTATTTGATGAATAGATATCTCAAAAGCACATAGAAATCTTTTAGTGTCAATTTAATGTGCCATTGCTGAATAAAAGTATTAACTTTTCAATTAATCAATAAAATGATAAATACTTTATATAACATTTTATTCCCCCCAGACTAAAGAACAGCATTGTATCTGTCTAACTTATAAAGTTCCTACTTTTGAGACCAGTCCCATCATTTAGAAAAACCAAACCGTTCTCTGGACAAAAACCCGTCATGTGGAACCCATGAGAAACTGTGTAAAGCTGCCAACAATACCACACATTCTTTAGCATAGCCTGTTTAATCACCCAAACAGTATTGTCCAAATCCTTCTCACTGAGCCACAGTAAGAGAATTCAATCTCTAGAGTTTTACTTCTATAAAAAAGGCGGCTGTGATTCTGCGATGGGATTGAGAGAGGGAAGCTCAGAGGGAACAGTGATCCAAATGACAAATTCACTGAAGGGAACGTGGACATAGAGCTTGAGTTTGCTGAAAGCAGAGCCCCGTCTCAAAGCAGAAAATGATAGCCAGCAGAGCAAATTAAGCTGCAAGTGCAGAAAACATAAGGACTGAGCAATGTGCAATTAAAGAGGCGCGATAAGCTTCGACCTTTGAGTTACTGCTACCAGCAGAACAGCAAAATAGCAGTCAGCTGCACTGTGTATGCAGTATTCATTAACACTGCTGAAAGGTCAGCTGTTTATAAGGACTGTACCAATAATAGTGTTTACCACTAGGTGGCGACAAGTTTGTATGGACTGTACCAAATCCATTTTTTAAACCACTAGGTGGCGACAGGTTATTTCAAAAAATTTATTTGTCACTGAATCATTCATTCAAGAGATTTGTTCAAAAACACTGATTCATCCAGTAATGAAACAAGTGAAGACTCTGAGTCACTGAATCATTCAAACCGATTTAAAAAAAAAACGAATTCGTTTAAATTAAACAAATTTAAATCGACTGCAGAAATACCTATTTTGTCAGAAGTAAATTACATGTTATTTTGTTTAGTTGTCAGTTCAGAATTGTTGGAGAATCTCCATTTGAAACAAAGAAAAACTGTGATTCTCAATTTGTCAAGAATCGTGCAACTCTAATTTATTCAGAGATTCAGAACATTTTTATTCCCAAGCAACATAAATTAAAAGTGTATATATTTCACCAGTGCTCAAATTAATTGGAAATTCTGGCTATTCACTTTGCTTGCTGCCTTTGAACCCCATAAACCCCATCGAGTTTACAAAGCCATAGTCAAGTGAGGATTAACTATCTTAATATATAATATAATAATAGTAGTAATCAGCTGATTGTCTCACAAATGTAACCAGGACATTTCTCCCCACATAGCAAACCCACAATACACAGAGAGGGAGAAGAACCACATGAAACTATGCAACTATGTATTTTTTCTAACAGGGTGGTAAAAGTTTAGCTGGCTAAATATAAGCCGTTTGTCACTGCAGTGGCCATACAGGTTTGGACAAGTCATCCGAGCAACTGCCACTGAGACAAATGCCGATGCTAAATGATAGCTTCCTCTCTAGACAGACCACATAGCAAAAGTGAACAAGGAAGAACAATAGAAGGGGTGTGTCAGTGTGTGCCGATGTCACAGGTTTTCTTCTACCTTTGAAAAACAGAATGACAGACAGCGTTGGCATTCGCAGTATGGAACAGATCCTATTCCTAATCCCATGACAGTTGACACAGTGAAAAGGTATCAAATTAGACTCTTTAGATGCAAGTATACATGTTGTCATGATCAGCTGAGGAAATTAGATTGAGTTTACCAAAAGGGTCAGAATAAATTGACAGCTAAAGTTGCAGTGTGTGATTTTTAGCAGCATCTAGCGGTTCGGTTGTGAGTTGCACTAACTCACCCCTCCATTTCAAAGAAGCTCCGGTGGCTAAAACAGGACAAACATATCGTCGTTTGAGACAGCCGAGATTGAGAATAGCCAGAGTAAACCAAGAGTGTGTAACATTGTCACTGTTTCTGTACCACAGTCCATTATAAACCCCATCAAGTTTACAAAGCCATAGTCAGGTGAGGATTAACTATCTTAATATATAATATAATAATAGTAGTAATCAGCTGATTGTCTCACAAATGTAACCAGGACATTTCTCCCCACATAGCAAACCCATAATACACAGAGAGGGAGAGGAACCACATGAAACTATGCAACTATGTATTTTTTCTAACAGGGTGGTAAAAGTTTAGCTGGCTAAATATAAGCCGTTACTGTGGCTGAGCTGGTTAAAGCGTAAAGCCTTGTTTAAACTCGACGCGTCCACAAGAGCCCAAAGGTTACGAGGCAAAAATTACATGATTGTAACAGTGTGCGCCTCTCCGCATCCCCTAACATAGACATTTACTACACACAATAGGCTTTTTATCGACGGGTTGGTGATTCCTGTAATGTTACGGTCGATGACAATTTTTTGTAAAAAAATTTAAAAAATAAAAATATACAAATTATAAAAATTATAACAATACAGGCCAATTTGATTTACTTGTATGCTGTGAAAACTGCTTTTATGCTGTAAGTTCTGATTAAACACACAATACAAGCCTCCATATAGTATTTGACTATATTTGTCTACATTATAACAGTGCTTTTTTTCTATTCTTTACTCCCTGTCACAATATGACTGCCCTTCTTCTCCCTAGTCCCTACCACCACACCAGAAAAGGAGACACAATATTGTGTATTTGATGCAATTTCTTTGAGCGCTTAACTTTCGCCAAAATGTAATTGAAATGTAACAATTATTGGGGTTATCTCAAATAATTGAGACTAGATAGAATAACATACAATACATACATAATCAATAATCGTGACAGGCCTAGAGTAAGGTTACAAAGATTCAATCAGATTTTACAAGTACTGCAGTAAGCAAAGACTGTGAAAGGGTAATAATCTGTAAAGGGGCCTGTGTGAGCAAATTTGCTGCAGCACGGAATCAATCTATAAAGGTACAGGACATCCAAATGCACACGGAATATCAATGCTCATATGTCCCGTTCCAGGTAGACAAAACCCGAGCAGAAATGCGTCTAAATCTAACTTCAGCAACAGTGACATCTTCCACATTCCCTCCTTTCACAATATCCAGGACGATCAGTCTATTTTTTGTAAACCGTAGGGTGAAAATGAACATGGAAAGGGAATGGGATTCTGATAGGGCATTAATAATGCAATTTAAATGATTAATACATATTCACTCTAAATGTTATCAAGAAAATAATCAATCATGATTTAATATCAAGAAAAGAGCGAGGACTGTGTGGGAAGGGCCTGAGATGTGAAGCCCTGTGCACACAGATGGGTCCTGACCATGAGCTCTCAGCTGTGTCACACAACCACAGGGAAGCCTAAGGCTTGAATCCATAAAGAGCAGCATGCTCTCTGTCCTGTCAGTTCACATTTTAACTATATTGATTTTAAGGGTGAGGGAGATATTTATTTACATTTTTCATGATTTTAAGATACATTTAATTCAAAAAGATATGCGACAGATTAATTTATGAACTTTGGAATTCTCTATATATTCTTATTTCATTCATTGAAAGTACAACAGCACAGCAAATGTCAGTGCGTGCCTCACCGGTCACACATGCCTGCCGACTAACACACGTCACACAGAGGGAAAACTGCATTCTGAAAACTAGTAGAACAGGTACAAAGAGAACAGTTCATTTCAGCGAACCTCCTACTCTAGAAACAATATTGAATCTGCTTTTAAATCAACTGTGTGTGTGCGACAGGCTAACAAGAAAAAAAAAACTAATACTACTTCCAGTAATAAGGAACGTTCCTTCACAAAACAAGGCATTATACGTTGCACAAAACACAATAAACTCCTTTTTTTATTGGTATTTCTTAGTTAATGCAAACAGAGAACACAAACTTGAGCAAAGGTCTAAGCAAACAGACATACAGGATGTGCATTGATCCAAATAGACAGACTGCCATGGTTACTCTTTCCAACCTTCTATATCCATAAAGGAGAGAACACAAATTATTGTTTCAAAACATCTTGAACACATGATCTGCTAAGCATTGCACTGTATATAACAGTGGAGTGGTCGACTGACAATCATTATGACATTGCCTCAACTAATGGTCCACACTTCATGCATTTGCTAAACTAACATGCGTATGCAATATGTATTTAATGAACTAAAAATATTTGAAAGATTGTCAATTATACATTGGTTAATTGGCTAAGATGATGACGAAAACCTCAAAATAGACAAATACAAAATGGTAAAAAACGTATTGACCTGGATGATAAATGTCTTAATCATTATTATACACTGTAATAATCTCAAAGAAAGTTTTAAATTAAAATTATTGGGCAGGCTGACTGAGGTGCCCTTAAGCAAGGCACCTAACCCCAATCGCTCCCCGGGTGCCACAGCAAAAATGGCACCGCCATGTGTGTCCACAGTTTGCAGTTTGTGTGTGTGTGTGTGTGTGAGAGTGTTCACTACTGCTACTGTGTGTGCACTAATTTGGATGGGTTACATAATGCAGAGGACAAATTCTGAGTATGTGTTAACATACTTGACCTTCACATGCCACTTAAGACTACTTATAAAGTCTTTTATACTCGAGTTAGCAAAGAGTTTGGGTGGAATGTTTCTGGTCTGCAAAATTTTAAATCCTTGATCCAAATCAGTTTAGTCAGAAGGACAAAGGCAAAACAGTTCAATAATTTGAAGGTATAAATAAAGGTATGACAATAGCTAGAGTCACAGACAAAAGCACATCAGTGATGCATGTTAAAGCATCCCCTCTTGTTGAATTTCTTTCACCCACCTTTTCATCGCTGCATGATTTGACCAGCGTATCCCTGGCCTGCAGTTTGCTCTCCAGCACGCTATAGTCTCCATCCTTCTGGTCGATCTGTTTCCGGTGCGTGTCCACCTGCATCATCAACTCGGAGTTTCTCTTCTCCAGGCGGGAGCGCGCCGCGTCCGTGCGCTTCACCTGCGTCTGCACCTCGGCCAGCTCATCCAGTAGCCGCCCGTGCTTAGTGGACACGCTCCAGTAGTTAAACGACAAAATTAAGATAATCACCATTAATACGATCAGGATGAAGGAAGGGAGGCGACCTCCACGTCGATTCGCACTGAAGCCGATCATCGTAATCGAACAGGCGCACTGAATACGATCTCTGGATTAGTGTGAGCGCCGTAGGTTAAATACGAGTGATGTGGTCACTGCTCTGACAAGTTATCTAAAAAGATGTGTTCATCCCCATTCGGCTTAGCAACCTTGAGTTGTTATGACGTTGGTGATGCAACTTCTTCGACGATTCTTCCGTGTCCCTTCCGCACAGTTGGCGACTTCTCGCTTTTCCTTGTTTGCATTCATGCAACGCCACTGTCAGTAACGTTAGATCAAACACATCAACACACACACAGGCGACGTGGCCTATGAGAGCTGATGCGAGCTAACGGCACACAGCCATCAGCTTTCCGTCTTCCGCCTGACCCTACAGCACCTAATAACGCATTTTTATTTGGTTACGGTCATCTCTGCAGATCTGCCGTCATGCTCGTGCGATAAATGCACTTCTGAATTTACCGTTCAGTTGTGTTAGCTAACGTTAAAACCGCGCTAAAGTAGCATGCGTGGATCTTGTGGAGCAACAGCGGTGTGTTACATTCAGTTCAACAACACGATACCGATTTCTCCAGAACACACAGCAATAAACACACAAAGCCGACCCGAATTTGTGCATGAAAGCAAGTCTATGACATGTTAGCACGTATAGGCTATTAGAACGTTAGCATTACATCTGACACCCCCAGCAAGGCCAAATATACATGCACGCGCACCACCATCCGCACCCGATATAAAACAATATTAACAAACTGTAAAGATGCGTTTAACGCGTCTTTAAATGTAATACCATGCAGATTAGACTATAAATGCAGCGTTAGCTTTAGAGTTCGCTAGTAACGTTACTGTCACTCAACTCCAGCCTTCCTCCTTTCTTCTTCGTCCAGCAAAATGTATGCGCAAACACTTTGTATTTGTATGTTTATATGTAAGTAAACGCGTCAGGAAAAGGTAATATTTCGTAATCGTGTCGTTATCATCTAACTGCCAGGTGGTTCTTCTTGATTAAAAAAAAAAAAGACAAAAATAATGTCGTTCTAAGTGTAAGGTGTACATAGGAACGTGATTGACAGTCACAGCAACCAATCCGTGGATACAACCAGATGCATGAGGCGTACCCGATTGGCTGTGGGCGTACCTGCTTCTGTCGTTGAATTTTTATTGGACGCTCAAATAATAAGAGAAGGTGTGGTGTATGATACTGGAATGAACATTCTCATTTGTCAAAACGTCTCATTTATGCAATGCTTACCTATTCCGGGATTTTGCTCATCATCATATATGTAATAATAAATAAATAAATAAATAAATAATGCATTCATTTGACGCCTGATGTTGATTTAAATATATAAACCAATAGACGCAATAAAGTGCAATCCGATGTGTTTGGAGGCAATTTAGGGATTTATAAATTGGAACATATCTTCAAATTATTTCCTTGTAAGTTATACAAATTAGCCCCCCTATGTAGTTTACCTTAGAATGGATTAGGAATCTGAAGAAAAAACAAACATACTGAGCCAATTCCAAAAACAAGGATTTTCACTGCAAAATCATACAGGGATAAACCTGAAATTAGCCTGCTCTTTGTTACTATAAGTCTAAGCCCACATAAACACTCAAGACTCTGTTGGAGTACTGCTTATGAAAAAAGCTTTGAAAATGTGAGTTTTAATCTTCGCATTATCAAAAATGATAAATTGTTGATGTTAGCCAGTTTTTGCAGGTGTGTTTGATTTGAATCCATGATCTTGCGCCACCAACTCTTAAACAGTGACTTTCAGTAAGGACAAATCTATGGAAACCAGGGCATCCGTTAGAGAAGACTGTTCAATGTTAAATTGAAGGAAATTCTCTTTAGACAATCTGCATTTTCATTTAGAGCAGAGGAAAGATGGAATTCAGTGCCTGTTATTAGAAAGTGTACATCATTTAGCATATTTTAACATTCACGTGATCATTCATTTAGATTCTGGATTGTAATGGAGTCCTGTAATTTTATGTAACACCTGGCCCAGGAACCACAGATGCAAATTAGCTATCTAGCTAACTCTGGCACATTTGTTGGGCATGGTCCCTGTTAAACTAAACTAAACTTCAAATAATGACTTGAGGGGGTTAAAATAGCAATCTAGAGAAAAAAAAATACAAACAGACACATTTTTATTTTGCAACACTGAAAATAATAATTACACACTGAGGTAAGTTGAATAATCCAGCTTCATAAAGGTCTCTGTCCTGAAGTGGCACACAATGACCAAGTACAGTATGTCCAATATTTCACAAAATGCTGTGCATTTCAATATTAATTCTCATTAAAAATGTGAAGAGGTAATTCCATGTCATCTTCTACAGTCCATTACAGACCCACTCTCCTGTTTAGCACAGTAGCAAATTCAACACTTCAACAACAAAAAAATTCGGACAATAAAATAAAAATATATACCTCTGCAGGTATTTTTTTGAATATCTTTATTACGAGGGAGTTTCAACTCCATGTTAACATTTCGTTTGTATTTCAAGAGCTACAGTTTTCTGCTGATGAGAGTTAGGACTTGGCCTTGGCACATATTCAGAGGTTTATGGAGGAAAAGGGTGTTTGTAGTCCAGAGGGTCAAAGTGTAGTTTCTCGGCATACACTGATGAGACTTTGAGGCTGGCGTGGAGACTGATGACCCAGGGTGGCAGGGACATCTGTCTGACTGGATCCTCTGAGTGGACGGCGCACGGATGAAGATGGGGAACTCAGAGCTCCGCAGCTCTGTAAATGCAGATCTTCGTGAGCATTCTTCCTCGGGCTGCCCATGATCTTCCGTGACTGTGTCATCAACTGTGTGAGGGACATGAGTAAAACAAACATCCCCAATGTAATTCACTTTCAACTACTGTATTAGAGCAAAAAGTATTCCTTATATCCTATATATTTTACACAAAAATATGTCAAATTCACCTGATCAATGATATTGGCACTGAATATGGCCTCCTCCATGTGTTTCTCATCAGATTTAATAACACATTTAATGCTGTTGACCACCTGCTGGACCTCTGGAGGTAGACTGCAGCTCGAGTGCTCCAGAAACTTGGCCACCAGCACTTTGGTGTCTTTGTAAGTCTTGAGGTCTGCGAGAGATTGCTGCCGTTCTGTAGACATTGAGTGAGGGATGTGAGGTTTGAGTTGGAGGTCCACCTTTCCACCGTCCTTCTGCTTTTTGCCCCCTTGGCTGCTGTGTTTGGCGGAAGTCTGTCGGGTGCTTTCAGAGAGCTCCATGCATGCTGTGAAGAGCAGTGAATTAGTATGTTTATTCGAAAAACTATAATTTTTTATGAGATGAATAACTATATCCTTTGACTTCTGAGCTACATGGATAACAGAAACCAGAAGAGGTGGGGTGAAACCTTGATCACAGGGAGTCTGCGGGGAGTCCTCAGGTGGATGGATAGAAGCAGGAGCACAACGGTCACCTGCAAGTCAAGTCACATGCTTAGTTCTCCAGATTGCTCATGGGCTATAAATGAGTTAATATAATGACGTATGCTATAATTTGAAAAGTTCACACATTTCCTATTCCTGCAACAAGCAATGACGGTTCTAAATGTCAGTGAATACTCTTTCAAAAATGCGTTTAAAAATACAGCAATAACAGTACCATATTATTTCTCTAAACAACTGTTTTCTATTTTAATATATTTTAAAATGTAATTTATTCCTGTGATGCAAAGCAGAATTTTCAGCATCATTACTCCAGTCTTCAGTGTCACATGATCCTACAGAAAGGAACATTTCTTAAAGGATTAGTTCACTTTTAAAAAAACTTTCACTGATAATTTACTCATGCCCATGTCATCCAAGATGTCCATGTCTTTTTTCTTCAGTTGAAAAGAAATAAAAGTTTTTGATGAAAACATTTCAGGATTTTCTCCATATAATGGACTTCATTGGGAACCAAACGGTTCAAGGTCCAAATGAGAGTTTCAGTGCAGCTTCAAAGGGCTTTAAACGACACCAGACGATGAATAAGGGTCTTATCTAGCGAAACGATCAGCCATTTAAATAATAAATAAAAAAGTTTAAATTTTATAAGCACAAATGCTCGCCTTGCTCTGTTCTATGATGAGCGTTCGTGACTCTCCTGTTTAAACTCGTTCATCAAAATGAACAAATCTTTTTGTCATGACTCGAAGGGTCCTAGATAAGACCCTTTATTCATCGTCTGGTGTCGTTTAAAGCCCTTTGAAGGAGCACTGAAACTCTTATTTGGACCTTGAACCGTTTGGTTCCCAATGAAGTCAAAAACCTTAATTTCTTTTCAACTGAAGAAAGAAAGACGTGGACATTTTGGATGACATGGGGGTGAGTAAATTATCAGAAAAAAGTTTTTTTTTTTTTTTAAAAAGTGAACTTTAATATCATTAATCACACAAAAAAAGTTGTTTTGCTTAATATTTTTTTTTAGAAACCTCAATACTATTATTTTCCAGGATCAAAAGAAGAACAATCGTTTGAAATAGGAATATTGTGTAACATTATAAATGTCTATTGTCACTTTGATCAATAAATGCATCCTTGCTGAAGTACTAATTTCTTAGGAAAAAAAATTGCTGACCCCAAACTTTACAATGATACTGTACAGTATATACTAACCCTCACAGAGACAAGATGCTATTTAAATAGGTAATGTACTGTGTTTGTCCTATCAATGATACTGACCCCACAAATAAAAAGGTTAACATGGGGTTTATAAAACGTACAATATGAAACATGGAAAACCCTAATAATGAATGTTTAACAATTTCAGTGTTAAAAAGCCCTATCGAACTGAATCAAAGAAAGAAAGACTCACGTACTTCTAGACATGGAAGTACAGGATGTGGGTTCACTAGTGGAACGCACAATCCTCGCCAGCTTCCGATACCCTTTGGTGGCACGGAGTGTGCGGGGCCGCTCACGTTGGCTGGAGTTGCTCAGGGTAGAGGTAGCATGGGGCTGTGAGGAAGAGGAGGATGGAGACCAGACGCTGAAGCAGAGCCGGGTTCCCCTCAGCTGAGCGGTGGGTGACGGCAAGGTACAGATGGAGGGGGTCAGGGCAGAAGCTGCACCGGCAGTGGAGGTCACTGCTGAGTTGGAAGCACATTGGGATGGAGTGCTTGGAGGGAATAGAAGGGTAAGCTTCTTATTGGTTCGTTCTCTGTGCTGTGTGCGAGACATGGGTTTAACGGCTGTAATCTCCTCCTTCTCGGGCACGTTAACGGCATCGGGTGACAACTGTGGAGAGTGGTGCGTGACGGAGGACTCGCTGCGGTCCAGTCGAGAAGGGGTCTGACGCCTCAGGGAAGAGTGGGTGCTGTGTTCCAGGCTTGTGCAGCTGCCGTCGGTAGGTACGATGCGCAAAGTACCATACGGAGAGGAATCAGAGCCCTGTACCTCTAGAGAACACAGGTCTTCAGAAGAACAACTGTGATCGGGGATGTCTGCAGTCTCGGACACCATAAGGGAAGCACTATCAACAGAGGCTGTCGAAACAGAAACCATATCATCTTTATATACAGACTGTAATTGAAGGTTGATTAATAAGATAAATTAGTGGTGGGGGGGTTCCAGCAGATGTATAATATAAGGTATAAAGGACACTTATCACTCTACCATTCCAAAGTTAAGCAGCAGTAATGCCTGGTTCAGATTACGCATTTTTTTTTTGTCTGTTACGATAGTCACTGTGTCAGATTGCGTAATTTTGACTCCTAAAATCTTGTCATGTTGTGGACGAGACACGTCAGACTACACGTTGCTTCCCGACAAGTCATGGCATGCCGTCTTTAACGGCGCGCGTGATGTCATCGAGAAGGCGAAACTAGTAGTGAATGACTTCTGGAAACTAATGTAAACGAACAATGGATGAAGCGGTGAGTGTTGTAATGGCTGTCCTGTGTTTAGAAAAAAGTAAAAAAAAACCGACAATGGACACGTTCCTGGATTGCTCGAAAAGGACTGTATGGGCTGTCAATCCTCCAAAGAGAACTTGAGGTAAAATATTGTTTTCTTATATTTTTACTTAGCACCATCGTCTCTCTTTCTTTTCGCTATTTTTGAAAGTTGTGTACGGAAAAGCTTCTGTGCTCCTATTGGTCAACCTCATACATGTGACGGAACCGTCGTGGACGACCGTTAAAAAAATTAAACGTGCTAGTCTTTTTGTCGCGATGTCGCGAAGCATCGCAAACGCGACGTAGTTTGTCGCCCACTTTGACACACTATACCATATACACTATATACGAGATGATACGATCGAATCTTACATCCCGAGTCCCCTTTACGAATCCCCACGACACCCTACATCAAACGGACCGTGCCAAAATCGGGCTAAAATCGTGTAATCTGAACCAGGCATTACAGTCACTTATGCTCACCAAAGCTACTTTTATTAGATGAAAAATAGAGTAAAAACAGTAATATTGTGAAATATCATTACAATTTCAAATAATTATTTTCTATTTTGATATATTTACAAATGTACTGTAATTTGTTTTCTGGAGGATCATGTGACACTGAAGACCTCACATTTTAAATTATTAAAATAGAAAACTGTTATTTTAAATAGAAGTAATATTCAATATTTCTGGGAAAAATAATAGACTTTCAAAAACATTAAAAATCTTACCAAACCTAAACTTTTAAACAGTAGAGTAAAATCTATTTCCATAGTAAAGTCTATGTACTGAAGCAAACCAGCTGTGAACCAATGTTCTATCAAACGATACAGACACAATATGCTAATGTGGAGGTAATGGTATACTATATTTAAACAAAAATTGCCTTCTAATTCTAAATAGCCCATTGACAACATAGATACACCAGAGAAGGGAACACCTCTGACTTTGTATTATCATTGAAGCCTCCTCACCCTGAGTGCTAAGGCCAGCGGTGGTGTTCCTTTCACACAGACTGGACTCGGTGACCTGTTGCTCTAGACTGGTGGTGATCTGAATGAGAGAAAAAACAGAGGGCTATATTTTATTTAACATTTTTAACAAATTGATCAATTATTATGTGTTTAAAACACAAGCTTCAAACTGTTTTGCGTGTAACCTTCTGGAGAGGATGGTGATTAAAAACCGTCTTACACCTGAAGATGATAACAAACAACTGCAAAAGGAGGAGAATCAGACAGCAAAACATCTGGCAGTGAGAAATCTGCTGCAGCCTGACATCTGGCATCACAGCAGTGCTTTAAAATGTCAACGCCATCCTATGACCAGCAGGGGGCTCTTTAAGATCAGATTTGCTCTTCTAGCTTCTGCATTATTATGACTGCACATTGTGTGGTTAATAAAAAGATATAAATCCACATAACATGATTGATCCAAAACACATAAAAGTCTATACAGAGAATGTATACGGTGTACAAAGAGCTTAAGTCCACAGCACAGCTGGATTTTAATAAAAATGTGAAAATAAGCTGCAGGCTACAGTCAGTAGCTGTATATAAAGCTGACTATATCAATTTAAAAATATTTCTTCCAGTCTCTATTATTGGTGTTTTTCTTTCAAAGCTTCTCAGGCTTGTGCCTGAGGTAAAAAAAAGGGTTTCAAAGATTGAAATGCCCCTGCTGCTTTGTTTGGAGATGGTTATCAATCACTTCACATGAGAAAGGTCTAAAATAAAGGAACCCTCTTTTTTTTTTTTTTTTTTTTTTTTTTAAAGGATTTTATCCTTTTTTTAATCTCAGATTTCTTTAGGTAGCAAACAAATCTTCAAAATAACACGTGATCACAAGCTCAGTCGCTGGATTTGAAAGGTTTGGTGGTCTTTTGTGCATCTCTTTGAAAAGACGAGAGCTCTTGTTCCCTTCCATCAGGTGAAGAAGTGGAATTTGATGAAAAATCATTGTTCATAAAACAGGGCCAGCTTTCACTATAAGAAAGCCCATTTCTTTTAAATTGAATGAAAATCCTGCCTGTATTGCTGATGTGTTCCAGAAAAAAATTATAATCCATTATACAAAGGCACTTGTATTAATTTCTTTCAGCCCCTCGAGTGCACCGGAGGACCTTCTGACTGCCGAGCTTTACACAGACAAATGAGTGTACATTGCTGAATTAGTGGTATGCATTGCTTTAAGACTGAAATACCTGCAAACTATTAGTAAAATCTATGAGAAACCAGGAACTGTCATAATTGACAAATTAATTTATTTTATTTGGGTTAGTTTCGATTGTAAAATGTCATGTGGTGTGATTCCAAAAAAAAAAATATATATTATAACAATTAACTTTATATTTTGATTTTCCTTCGTTTTAAGCTTAAATGTACAATTGGAAATCACATTGCCGATGTGGCTGTAACATGAAAAATGGAATGAAACTGTGAATGAAAAGGTGTTTTATTGCAGTAAAGGTCACATATTGCAGTTGTTCCCAGAAAATCCTTCAGAACATCAAAATTATTCGTAGCCACCCAAAATGACTAATATTCTTTAAACATGCTCCCTTCATAGCCAATTAAATGTTACAGTAGATCATAGAAAAGGTGTCAGCTCTTACCTGGCTGGCAGGTGTCTGTCCCACGACAGACTCATAGGGTGGTGGCAGCTCAGATGGATATAGAGCCCCAGGGCTGTTAATAGGCACCCCATAAATAGCACTGAAGGGAGAGTGTGGAAAGTCCAGATGCAACCCTCTAATGGACAGAGATGTTGGTAAAACACGATTATAACACTACGTCAATGCTTCAACAAAATTGGATGTGGGAAGACGCAAAAAATATATGAGGCCATTTAGGAACAGAGGGAAATGAAACTATTTCCTCTTCATCTCAGTGAGTGATATATATTATTCTTTAAATTAACCAAAGTCCCCCTTTCATATTGGTGGGGAGGAATCTGTGTTTTTTCGTGTGTCTTGTGTATTACCACATCCTGACTCAGTGTGCATGTATGCTCTCTCTCTCTATGTATTTACTGCTTTGTTGACACATTAGTGTGGCCACGGGCTAAACAGCCTCATCAGCATGCTTTTTATGATGGGATGGTGGGCAGAGTGTCTCACAGTGCGAGGCAGAGAAATCAATGGTGGATTTACACCAGGCCAGGGACTCTGCCGCTCCATAATATGGATTGTCAGAGCAGTTTGCCTTGAGACCTGCACTTATACAACATGGTATGAATTCCCATGCAAATTTCCATGGGACGATTTCATAAATCTCTTTGAATCAATCTATTCAAAAACCTCTATTTTTCAGAGTGCAGAATATACAGCCAAGCAATCTGATCAAACTGTTTCTCAGATATGGTGCAAATATTAGGTCATTTCAAGGTAGATGAAAATCAGTATGTTGTTTGTGTGTGGGTTTACCTCTGGCCCTCCATTACAGGTGTGCAGGTGTACTCTGGGGGATAGTAGGGAGGAGGCGGGATGGGTGGGATGAACTCGTTAAAGTCCAGCGTCTGGTGTAAGATGGTACCATGAGGGGTCATACAGTCAGCACTCAGGGCACGTGCTCTGTGTGGCATGAACTGATGAAAAAAAGAAAAAGAAAAGTTAAACATTTAGTTTTAGCTAATAAAATTACCATCCTCTACCGTTCAAAAATTTGGGGACAGTACGATTTTCTAATGTTTATAAAAAAAAGTGTTTTATGCTCACCTAGGCTGCATTTATATGTTTTTTTTTATTAATGTGAATTATTATAATAATTTAAAATAACTGTTTTCTATTTCAATATATTTTAGGAATCTAATTTATTCCTGTTATGGCACAGCTGAATTTTCAGCATAATTGAATCACATGATCCTTCAGAAATCATTCTAATATGCTAATTTACTGCTGTAGAAACATTTCTTATTATTATCAAAGTTAAAAACAGTTGTGCTGCATAATATACCGTGGAAACCATGATACATTTTATTTTTATTCAGGATCCTTTAATCAACAGAAAATTCAAAGTAACAGCATTTACTCAAAATAGAATAGTCTTTACTGTCACTTTTGATCAATTTAATGCGCCCCAATGAGGTATTAATGAAAAGAAATCTAACTGACCCCAAACGTTTGGTTGGTAGTGAATTTGATGACCATCTAATAATGAAATCATTCACCATACAAATTCTGTGTTTTTTGAAGTCACAGTTACATTATTTTCATTGCGTTCAAAAAGGCTGAAGTGTTTCATTTTATGCAATTTAACCATCTGATGCATGCATTATTAAAGGAAAAGAAGAACTGGTAACACTTTACAATAAGGTTCATTAGTTAACATTAGTTAATGTATGAACTAGCAATACATTTGTTACAGTATGTATTTATCTTTGTTAATGTTAGTTAATAAAAATAGCTGTTCATTGTTTGTTCATGTTAGTTCACTTTCCATGTTGAATGTATAGACAAAAAAAGGCATTTCTCAAAAGGTCTTGTTTTAAGTTCAACAGAAATAGTTTTGTAGTTCAGGGTTGGAACGAGGTGAGTAAACTGTTTCATTTTTGTGTGAGCTATCCCTTGAAAACTGCTTTTAAAGTTCTGTCAAGTGTAGCAGACGCCATGCATAAGATCAATCTGCCGGTTGAAAAGTTCAGATGGGAAGAGTAACTCATTTTGTGCCATTCCTTCTGAGTTCAAGGATAGGTTTAAAGCATTTTTATGATGACAATGCACTTTCCTGTTGATGTCTTATTAGACTATATGAAGACTCATCAATCAGAAGATACTGAAATCATCACTCTGATCTTAAGCATCATTAACTGAGGCAGTGACTGTAAATGACAGATAAGTTCAGGTAGCAGTATAAGTTTCACAACGTCAGAATGTGCATCGTTTGATTACATGGTTCTGAATAACAACCACCCAATGTAAGCAGAGATAAAATACAAATGATAAGGTTATGAGGAAATCAGTTAATACAGCTGCAACGGGAAAAGCTCCATGCAGTGCTTCCCCTCATCCCTGCCCTAGGGCATCTGTTGTCTTTGTGCATGGACTGTGCAGCTGGTAACAGTGGTGATTTCTCGCTTTGCCACTCTGTGCCCTGAGTCGAAACTAATCCCACAACTGTTCTAGCGATTCACAGAGCCGCAGCCATGCTAATATAAGTCATCTCAATTCATCTCCCTGTGCCCATGCCTCTGCTGCAGCCATCCATGAGGCTGTGCAATTTACTGCAGCGCCCATAAAGCGCACAAAGCCCACTCTTAAAGAATATTAAAACTTTATGCCCCACTACAAGTTTATTTTCTCTCACATAAAACAGGATGGCTGAAAAAGACAGATCAACTGAAAGTGAGCAATGACAGATCAGCAGTTCTCTTCCACGGAGCATTGTAACGTCTGGGCTCATCTTCATTCAATCTTATGCTTAAGAAATTAGTAGTTCAGTACTTTTGAAAAATGTGCTCTAAATGAAGTAGAAGCGGATGAGATAAAAAAAAAGTTAAGCAATTTATTTCCATAAGAGAAGAGCTGAAAAACATGTGAACTCACACAACCTCTGTAACACTTTGGTTGCAGAATATGATTGACCAATGCCCCTGCGAATATGTTACTTTTATTATGCCATTGGTACCCAAATCTATTTTTTTTTTTTTTTGCATGATGTTGTATCCATGGTGATACATTAGGTGTCAGTACAATTATTGACTTTACTTGGTGAGGAAACGTATAACTTTAGGAAGGAATAGGGCTGTCAAACGATTAATCGCGATTAATCGCATCCATAATAAAAGTTTTTGTTTACATAATATATGGGTGTACTGTGTATAATTATTTTGTATATATATATAAATACACGCACATGCATCTATATTTAAGAAAAAAAATTATTTATATATAAAATATTTATATTTATATATGATATAAATTATATAAATCTATATACAGTATATACAGGAAAATATTTCTTAAATATATACAAGCATGTGTGTGTATTTATAAATTTATAAAATGATTATACACAGTGCACCCACATATATCATGTAAACACAAACTTTTATTTTGGATGCGATTAATCGCGATTAATCGTTTGACAGCCCTAGTAGGAACGTTTATCTACAAATTGAAAAATATAAGTTTACTTAAACAGTTGTGGTTCAAATTGACTTTTGTAATTTTCCTAAGGCACCGGCTTTCCTTACTTTAAATGACGTCAACTAATTTTACAAAGTTCAAGACCACTCTCGGCCAGCAAAACATAAAAATAAATAAATAAATAAATAAAAAATCCATATTTTTGCCCTGATGTGGAGGATAGGAATACCCAAAAAATGTGCATTAATGTCTAGACTGATTTCCTTAATACACAAGGCAATCAAGTCACTAGTTTCTCTAGGGAAAACACAAGGGTTAATTTGAAGTATGAGATATCATTCGGTGTATATGTCTGATGTGGTCAGAGGATATATTTAATGATTTGTTTTTACCACCAAATCCACTGACCTATTTTTCTCTGAACTGTGCTTAATGTAAAAACATATTTATTTATATTTGTCAATGTAAGGAACACTTTGATTAAATTACCTTTTTTCTTTTGATGGCTATGAATATAGACAACACATTTTTTTTCTGATATTTTGCTAATTAAAATAGTACATGTTCAATTGTCTTAATTGTCTGATCTTTCCATTATGATGTAATTGGAAAATGTACACACTCAGAAAGACGCACACACATTGCGGTATGAATCACACTTACCATCTGTAGTAAATCAGTAGAAACCATTTGCATACAGCACACGGCAGTGGCCAGAGCACACACAATGGTGGAGATAACATTCAGTGCACACACGCTGAAAAGCAGCTCCTGGGAGACAGAGGGAAAAATGGAGAGACAGGGATAAGAAGGGAGAGAACAAGAAGGTGAGAATCAATGGGAAAGAGACGGAAGGATAGAAGGAGAGTGAGAGAAAGAGAGAAAATAAACGAGAGTGGCAATTGTTTTGTTGGGAAAAACCTCAGGCTGGCACGAGCATTTATTGTTCCATTTGTCAGAGTGAGAGAGACGGCAGTCAGGAAAGAACAAATGTGTGGGAGAGAGAAAGAGAGAGTAGCTATGACATAATGGATAAGAGGGATAATGGTGTCACCAAAGCGGGACTTTTGCATGGCATCATCGTTCTGCAAAAGATAAGCACAAAAAGCTGAACTAAAAGGTGAACCAGGGAAAGTCCTTGCGAAGCTTTAAATATCAATTCCCATTCACAGACTAGTACGACTATTTGATTTGATTCCCACATTCCAATTCAATTTGACTTGATTCTGATTCAGTCCTGTTTCAGTTACAATGTCCATTCTGATGTAAATATACAGGAACTTTCTTATAAGTCAGAACAAAAATGTTCATTAAAAAAATGACCAAGGCCCAAACTATGCAATTTAACTACCATTAATATAACAGAAATAATACACAACCCAAAACTGAAGTTTTAAATTGACTTTAAATGCATTTCGTAAATTATGCAAAAAAAAAAAAAAGATATAACCTCATGATCACTGTTATCCCCTCATGAAGACCACTAAATGGGTCTATATACTATGTATGCTGTACTAGAAAGGACAAGGACAATCACAATGAATCAGAGACTACACTAATTGTGCTTTGGTACTGTGTGCAGCCCACAAGCAATTGGAAGAAAACACAGGTATTGAGTTAAAGTAAAAATGAATCTTGGGATTTTAGAAGAATTGATACACATACTGTACATATAGCATAACTTATTAGCATAAGCGAGAGTGCGTAGCCCCTATAGTCATCAAGAGAAAGAGATCACTTAAAAAAATAAAAATAAAAATATATATATATATATTTTTTTTTTTAATGGATAAATAAATAAAAATAAAAATAAAAAAATTGGGGGGAAAAAAAGAGAAAGAGATCACTAAAACCCAAGGACGTGGCGATGTTCAGAATTCTGCCAGGCTGAGCTGGGCTGTAGATCTGCATCCACAAAATGTTAAATACATTCAGTATTCAAGACAGCTCATCACACACACCTGCTATCAGAGCCGTGTCCGATCTCTCGTTGTGACAAGATGAAATGTATGTGACCCAGTGATGTCCTCAAGGAAAACACTGAATTCTTAAATGTGCACAAGTCCTTTAGGTGAAAGAAGCCCACCCTAAGAGGACCGGACAGGCCTAACCGCTTCCACATGACTGTAACCTTCCAAAAAGGCCAATACCTCCTCTTTGAAGGTGGGGGATGTGTTTATACAAATGCAAACAATAAGGGTCTGGACAAAAGAGACTGGAATGCATTTTTTAAAGTCGTTTTGGTCCAATTTTTAGATTTTATATCAATTTTTTTCAGTTTTTTTTTTAATTAAAATATCAATATATAATTTTATTTAAAAAACAAAACTCAAAAGGTAAAGTTTAAAACTGCACACTACTGGCTTAATTTCAAAACAGTGTGTTTAGTTCAGTAAGTGTGTCAGATAGTGATTCAGTAATCATTCTGACTGATTCAATGAGTAAATGATGTGAAAGATTCAGTGATTGGTGGTGGTTGAGGAGATTCCCCATGGAAGTAAAACAATGACAAATGTTTTTGAAACAAAAAACCTTGTTGAATTGCACTACTTGCACTGCATTAACCCTGCTTGCATTTTAATGCATTGTATTTTTAGGGCTTGCATTTTTCTGGGATGAAATTCAACATGGTTGTATATTAAAGCTGATTAATATTTTAATTCAAAACATTTCACACACCTTTTTAATTATTAAAAATTCAATAATCCATATTCACCTATTAGATTTCACATCCAAAATATTCATTCAGAAATAGATGTAAATAAAGAATGTACCTATACAACCAGCGATTTTTATAATTGGACTAACTCCAGTAGGATGCAGAACTAGCTTGTGCAGTTGTGTAACAGCACATATAACAGAGGTACTAGGTCAGCTCCACTGAGAAACACCTGCTCTTCCCATTTTGAGCCAGCAATTCTAACACGTCCCCCTGACGACAAGAGGGGGGAAAAGAGAATGATGAAAATACATTCATACAGTTCCTAAAGCTGATGGAACATGGTACCATTTCTTGCATTCACATGTTGATGAGGGTCTAAACCAGTAATCCGAGTAGTCGCTGGACAGCAAACTTGCAATCGGTTTCATCAGATATGATGGCACTGACATGTCACTTGACATGGCCGTCATAATGTGACAAACACCTCAAGGTATTACACCTCCATACAAAAAACGAGTCCTAAAGGAAAACGAGGGTGTCAATATGAAACACACCAGTGGTATATAATAGCCCAGGACCCTTACAATGAGAGAGTCACATGGTGCAATATGCCAATGAGCCGTAACATTAATTGTACTGAGGGTCTTTTATAGCCATCTCAATTGACCTGACTGGCCATAAAAAGACATGAGACCTTCAGACATCAGTAATAGCATTAAAGAGTATAAATCATATTTATGTTTCATAACGCCACCTAAGTAAGTGCTACAGATATAACATAAACCATCAATACTGATATAGTGGCGTTATTGTTAATTAAAACTAAAACTATTCAAAAAGGTTTTCAGCGATTGAAAAAAAAATATTGAATACAAATCCTGACTTAATCTAAGCTCTGTCTGTGAAACCGGGCCTATGTCTATGATGGCATTACAAATACCTTGCAAATACAACACTGTATAGGGAAAGAAGATGTACTGTGCATTTTTGTAATAATAATAATTATGTATTATAATAATTACATGATTTCACACTACTGAGAATGTTTCATGAAGAAGGTTTACAAGCATTTATAAGCAATTGCTTACAGGCAAGTGTTTTTCTTGATTTCATAAAAAGCGGCGGATGCTTTGTACAAGCAAATTTGTAGAAGCCTCACATCACCACATCCCGTTTCAAAAGCTGCCAAAAGCCCCGAGATCATGGCTAGCATGAGTGAATTGCTTAGACACTGGAATAGAAACCAACGGCGAGCGCTAATTGAAGATGCATGACTAATGATGACTGAGTCTCATCTGCATATTAGAGAGAGATCCACAGAACAACGTGAAGAGACGTGTCCAATAAGGCAAGCGTTTTTGGGAATAGCGTGTAATTCTTGCTCTGCTAAATGGTTCAAATACTCTCTAAAAGGCAAATTAAAAAGTGTTTGAAAATGGAGAAATCCATTTTCAGAAGACAGCAAATGCGCATGGGAGCAGAGACAAAAAATACTCCTCCAAGATAAAAGTGCGATATTTTATGAACATATTCCTCGAAAATAAAAAAGCAAAAATGATTGGTACTCAAAAACAACATTCAAAGACAAACAGCAGAACAAGAGTACAAAACCATTAATGCTTAAAATATCTCTTTCTCCGTGATATACGAATACCACAATCCCACAAAAACAATGCATCAGAAACTGTGCATCATAATGCAACCCATGTTAAATTGACTAAATGAACACTTTGTAACATCATTTTTCATCTAAGGTGACTTACAGTGCCATTCCTGCAGGGACAATGCCCTTGGAGTGACCCACAGGTATAATGGTGCCAGAGAAGATTGAGGTCTCATTATCTCTCACAGTTCTACATCATCCCTACCCGTGTCTGAATTTGCAAATTTCTACTACAAATGCAGACTAGCACCACTCAATACTCACATCTGTGCTATTACTCTACAGTCCAGTCCTTAAGTATACATGGACACTATTGTTTAAATGTTTGGGGTCTGTCTTTCAACACTGATAATAATAAGAAATGTTTCGTGAGAAGCAAATGACCATGTGACACTGAAGACTGGCTGAAACATCATCAAAGGAATAAATTACATTTTAAAATATATTAAAAACAAATATAACCAATTATTTCACAATATGCCTGTTTTTATTGTAGTTGTGAGAAAATAAATGTATAGCCAGGGTGAGCATAACAGACATATTAAAAATATTAAATATTAGAAAATCTTACCGACCCCAAACTTTTGAATGGTAGTGAGTGTATATACAGTACAGTCCGTGAGAAGGGCTCTTAATTGTAAAGTTAATACATTGCTTTATAGAGACACCCCCCATTTTATTTATTATAAAGATTATTGATGATGGTAGTTTTTAATCTGGCTAATTAAAGAAGCCTAGAGATTTTCAAACAATACATGCATGATTATAAAATAATCATCATTTACATGTCTAATGCATTTATTTCTCTTCATTTACTTGTCTGATCCAATATTCATTAACTGGAGGCAATCAAAAAGTCTATCTCTAATGATAAAAAATCTTTAATACTTGAATATCAAATTGATAGAGTCTATTAAAGTCGTCATTGAATCAAAACTGACCCTATTTACTTTGTTAGCACACATTTCTAGTCTTGTGGAGAACAATTAATACATTCAAGTTAATTCACAGAAAAAAAAATTGTGTTTGTCATGGTAATCTTTAATCAAAAAATGGGACATTTGCATTCTCTGATGACGTCAGTTTGACGGCTTGGGTTGAAAACACTTAACCACTCCCCTCCAACCGTCAAGTCTGCTATGAGCAAGAGATGGAGAGGAGGTGCGCTGAAGTAAAATCCTGCCCTCTATTTAATATTCTGTTTCACTTGGAAATACATTACAACACTGAAGAACTTCCCGTTCACTGGGACTTTAAAGGGATACTCCACTTTTTTTGGAAATAGGCTCATTTTACCACTCCCCCAGAGTTAAAAAGTTGAGTTTTACCGTTTTCGAATGTATTCAGTCGATTTTTTGATATTTAGAAGAATATCAGTAACCAGACAGTTTCTGGTCTCATTGACTTCAAGTCAATGAGACCAGAAACTGTCTGGTTACTGATATTCTTCTAAATATCAGAAAATCGTCTGAATGAATTTGAAAACGGTAAAACTCATCTGTTTAACTCTGGAGAGTGGTAAAATGAGCCTATTTCCACAAAAAGTGGAGTATCCCTTTAAAGAATATAAAGAAAAATTGCTGGCTATGTTAACAATGTTCTAAAATCAATGTTCAAACAGCATACCACCCAAACATCCAACATCCAAACTTATCTAATTTACATTGCGAACAGATACATATTCAAGCATGTTACAAACACCTACTGTACATGTACACACACACACACACACACACACCTGGTTTGTAGGTACTCTCTATATACTTTTTTACTGTTACTGTTTTTTACTTTTACTTTATGGTTTTTATACAGTACAAACTGTTTATGCAATCCCCTTTCATTAACTCTACCCCCAAAACCTACCCATTACAGAAAACACACACACAGTGATACCTTCAGTCGGAGGCGTATGGTGTTGCAGTCCCTCAGTGGGTTGAGTTTAAGTGTATCTCCCAGATTATTACAGGTAGATTTCTGGTGCTCGAGCTCACAGCAGACACACACACCATCACTGTCAAATTTGATCTGCAGAAGGACAGAAACAAACTGGTTTAAGTTTCATGCAAGTCAAATGATTGTTTCTGCATAAAATAGACCAGAGAATTGTGTGACTGCTCAAGGTGAAAACACAAACACATAAATAGGACAGGTCAGGGACAACTGTGGCACAGTGATGACACTTGTTCGGCACACATTAAATAGAGTTCTCAGTCTGCCGGAAAGAAGCAGGAGAGAAATGTTCAACAAAAATGGATGTTGAGGCACATCTGAAATATTCTGCTGTTTAGATGCCTTCGAAAATAAACTTAGTTAGAAGTTACCATGAATGACATATTAATACTGTAGCTGGCAGCTATATCAGACAGCCTCATATTTATAAAAGAACAAACTACCTAAATTCAATCACTTTTCAATGTAAATATATAATATATTTCAATTATCCCTTATTTGCAAAATGGTTTCTACTGTCTCATGCACAAAGTTGATGCATGTGGAAGCTTACTGTATTGAAAATTGAAATTAAGATTAAATTAATTAAATAATAGGCTAGTTAATTATGTCTTCCACATTGCAACATTTATAGGCTTCCTATATTCTCGAACCTAACAGCTTTAGCCTAATCATTCATGTTTGTTAAGAAAGATCTTAATAAATCCCATACATGGTGGTCTAGGATTATAAATCCTTTGTGTTGACTGAAACGAAGTCGCCATTTGACCCATATTGCACAAAAGCGATGTGTGAACTTTGCAAGCAGGGGTTAATTGAATCGAGGAAACAACTTCATTAATATTTCAGTCATGGCAGGATCAAGTCTCTGAGGAGGCGAGTGTTCAGTAGGCAGAGAAGAGAGATGCTTAATCCGAGATGCTAATCCCTAAATCAGGTGGAGTAGAGACTGATGGAGACAGAAGTCTGTCTTTAGCCTGGTCTGAAGCGCTAGACAAAGGGAAGGAAAATCACCAGACCTGTTTTAGCACAACAGCACAAGGTGTGAACCGCCACTGGGTTCTCAATGTCATGTTTCCATGACGATAGGTGATTAAAGCAGTGTTTTGTTTCTGTTCAATTTTCAAGAATGACTGGAGGATTATGATGGTCCTGTTTACGAAAAGGACAATGGAAAGACCATGTAATTAGTTCCTATATGTTTCTAAGATAAGTCTCTTGTGAAACAAAACTCTCCGCAGTAGATTAAGTGAAACTTCAAATGCCTGGTATTGCTTCTGATTGCTGAAAAATAAGGTTAATATAATAAAATAAACCATGATAGTAGGGCTGTCAAACGATTAATCGCGATTAATCACATCCAAAATAAAAGTTTGTGTTTACATAATATATGTGGGTGCACTGTGTATAATTATTATATATATATATATATATATATATGTAAGCAATAAGGTACGAGAGGCTGTGCTGTATCGTGAATAAGTAACGGCTGAAGGGCGTTGTTAGGCACGACGCGAAGCGGAGTGCCTGCAACCCCTTCAGCCGTTACTTATTCACGATACAGCACTTGCCTCAAGTACCTTATTGCTTTTATAAAACGGTTGCCACACAATATTAAAATAAAAAACAATGTATTAGTGCAACTTTCATGTAGTTTAATCAATAAAAACATTCCTTCCGCTAGAAAATAGTCCCTCCCTGACTGTGAACAACAACGTTCCAATGTGTAATATGCAGGAAAGCTCAAATAAAAACAACAAACCATTCTCAAACTTTGTCTCATTCTTTTTATTTTTTACAACACAAAATTTGTGAAATTTCCTCACACAAATAGGCATAGCTTATCTCTCAGCAAAATACAAATCTAAAATAAAAAAATAAAAAAACACAAAGGCACATATTTTGATAGGTAACAGTTAGGTCTTTAATCTAGTTATTAATTTATTTGCTAAAATGCTGCCTAACAAGAGATACTTTATTTATCGTTGTTTATTTAAATGTATTTGAACATCTCCGTTTATTGTGCATGCATTTATATTTGTCTCATTTCAATCGGCTCCACTGCGGTGATATTTTAGTTGGGGCTCAGCGCTGTCAGCGGTGTTTTCTGTTGCAGCAAGAATGTCACCGACATAACTTAAAAAGGCTAAAACGTTTCGTTTTATACTAGGTAAATTTCGTAAATAAATCGAAGTAAATTTCAAATTAATACTAGGTGGCATGACGATGGATAAGTGGTTTGAGGAACAATTTGGAGAGACTACTACAAATACGAACCGTCATGCTGAAGTGCTGAAATGTAAATTTGATACATTTGAGAAGACTCGTAACGAAAAAAATGCCGTGCAGCAAACCCAATGGGCAGTGAAATGCTTCGGTGACTGGTGTAGTGACAGGTGTGTTGGGATTAAGCGCATCGGACAGTTTTATGGTGCTGAAATCTTTAGTAGAAATCGGTGTGTGATGCTCCGTTTTATCACGACCCTCTCTTCTCATTGTCTTTACGACTCCAATGAAAACATTATTGGATGAGGTGAATTCGCTGTCTCTTATCAGACACCACGACAAACTCGGTGGATCATTTAGGAATCTGTTCAGACCCGCACGTAACGCTACATAGATACTGATCCCATATTTTTCTCCTGTGGAGCTTCTGACAGTTCCGTAGAAGTCATGGATAAGTGCGTTGAGTTCCGTCTTGGTGATTTGTTTAAAAATTAATGCCGCAACCCTTTTCACTACACCAATCACCGAAGCATTTCACTGCCCATTCATAGGTTTGCTGCACGGTATTTTTTTCATTACGTATTTACGAGTCTTCTCGAATGTGTCAATGTTACATTTCAGCACTTCAGCATGACGTTTCGTATTTGTAGAAGTCTCTCCAAATTGTTCCTCAAACCACTTATCCATCGTCATGCCACCTAGTAAATCGAAATTTACTTTAAACATTTTAGCCTTTTTAATTCTTAAGTTTTTTTCTGTTTAGCCTACGTTGATATGTGTGGTTGCTAAGGGTGTTGCTAAGGGCGCAGTGATAAATAGAACCGTTGGGTGAAGCGGTCATAGCCGTGTTTTATCGTGAATAAAGCACAGCTATTGACCAATCAGAATCAAGGATTGGAACTAACCGTTTTATAAATATATATATATATATATATATATATATAAATACACACATGGTTGTATATATTTAAGAAATATATTCATGTATATAGATTTATATAATTTATATATAAATATAAATATTTTATATATAAATAATATTTTTTCTTAATACCTATACATGTATGTGTGTGTTTATTTATATATATATATATATACAAAATAATTATACATAGTGCACCCACATATATTATGTAAACACTTTTATTTTGGATGCAATTAATCGCGATTAATCATTTGACAGCCCTACATAATAGGTTACCACTAATGATTTCACCAACCATAGAACGTCAAAATTTAAGCTTATTTTGATTGCTGTGAGAAAAAGTATGACCATTTATATTTGATTATATCAAACTTCACAGTAGACATAATGATTGAAAGCACCTGAATATTTCATCTGTATAACACGTTCAATCTATTGATCTCATGGCACATGATGTGTGTGCTCAACCCTTGTAAGATGAATCATTAAAGCATTTTCAGGTACCATTTCAAAGAGCCATCAACACTTTCACCATGCATTCATCTAAAAAAAAAACATCTGATCATTATTTATAAAGAAAGTTTCATTTTATCATCCATGTGTGTTCTTACTGACTTCCCACTATAAGACTTCAGCTTCTAGTTACCGCTGAACTATTCACTATTTAACTCATGGTTGAATTACTCAATTCGAAATTCTGAAATAGCTTTACCATAAAGGTCATTAAACTCAATTTTCATGTTTTAATGAATACTGTATAAACATATACTACATTCATATACAAAATAACTTTTGAGTTGAAAATGTGGAAACAGTGGAAAGAAACACTGATAGTAGAAAAAAGATTAAATTAATTCAAAGCCTTTATCCATAACCTGAAAGCCAGCCATGCATTTAATTGAGTTTGAAACAAACAAATAAGACTTACCTGGTGATTAATGTACACAGAGATATGGTTGAACAATTAATAACTGTAAGATCTTCCACTAAACTCTAGCAATTGTTTTTATAGCATAGCAATTTAGTGCTATGTTTTATTTAAAGAAATTCCTAATACATTAATTTGCCACCCATTCTGAATACTATACTTCTCAACCGATGATTTAGTTATTCACTGCTTCCACACCAGGGGGATACATGGTCTTAGAGCTGGAGAGGGGTGTCCAGTTCTGGGTAACATAAATGGGGGAAGCCGTGCTGAGCTGTTATGCCATGCTGGGCCAGCACTGGACCCACTGTAGAGCTGATAAATCAACCTCAATAGAAAGCACAGCAAAGACTGACTGCTCTATTAATCTCCTTTATACGCCTTCATTCAAAGAACACAATGGACAGCACACAAGCATACTGTGGCTTCTTTGAGGATTTTCTACAGTATCAAAACAACAATTTAGAGGTATTATGATGTGCAATAATAAAATAAAAGAGATTTTCTATATTTTAGTTCTATAGATTTAGCTCTTCAATTTACAGTTGAACTGTAAAATAAACATTCATTATGTATTCTCATATTCAAAAAACGTCTCAAGAATTTGCTTCCTCTAAAGCAAAGGCAAAGTGATCTCATGACAGGACATTCGGCTCTAGCACGGCTAATTTACGTGAACTGACTTCCACTATGAAGGCTCAGCCACTTCTATTCATTCATCTGCTGCACTCTTTACTCTCCCCAGAAAATTGATGATAATGATATATATTTTTTTTTTTTTTTGCAAGAAAAACCCTGTGAGCTTCGGCTGCTGATCAGGCACCCATTTTAATGAGGACAAAGGTTGTGGGTGTTAATTTTTATTTCTGCTCCAACAGAATATAACAGGATGTAAAAAAGGGTCCCGGCAGACACTCTCATTTTCTCTGAATGTTGAGCTAATTTCACTGAAATCTTGACAAGGGCATCGTGTTAATGAATGATGCTCCTGGGAGCTGTAATTGCTCAATGGATTGATTCTTTAGTGACAGGCTACTTTTGAGAGGCTGGTAAAATACACAGGTTTAGGACTAAGCTATTTTCAGTTTGGACATGCAACTGGTTTCCTTTACAACAAAGAAGTGATTTCATGCATGTGCTCTCTCACCAGCTGACAGTCCTCCAGAGAGTTGACCAACTGGGCATTCTGACAGGAAAGGATGGCTCCTGCGAGGTTCAGCATCACACACACAGCAGACAACAACATGAAGAAAGTTATCTGTGGAGAAAGAAAGGGAACAGACTGTCGGTTTTGGAGGTTATCGTGGTATTTTAAGACTCGTAATAAACAAAAAAAACAGTAGGATGCCATTTTTCACCTCATTAAACAGCCTTTGCAGAAGAATTCCACATATAGGGTTCACACATATTGGCCAACGGTCCATGACCTTTCCAGTGTACACTATCGTTCAAAAATGTTGGGGCTGATAAGATTTTTTTTTTTTCTTACGCTCACCAAGGCTGCTTTTTTTTTAATAAAAAATGCAATATAAACAGTAATATTGTGAAATATCATTACAGTTTTTAATAAATGCTTCCATTTTAATATATTTGAAAATGTAATTTATTGCTGTGATGTCAAAGCTGAATTTTCAGCATCATTACTCCAGTCTTCAGTGTCGCATGATCCTTCATAAATCATTCTAATATGCTGATTTACTGCTCAGGAAACATTTATTATTATCAATGTTAAAAACAGTTGTGCTGCTTATTCTTTTTTTGTGGAAACCATAATCATTTTACTAACATTTTAGTTTAGGGTCCAATACTTAATATTAACTAGTTGCTTATTAGCAATGCATTTTACTATTATTGGCTGTTTATTAGTTTTTATAAAGCACATATCAATGTCAACACCCAAACGTAACTACTATTAATAAGCAGTAATTATGAGTATATTGAAGCAAAAGTCAATAGCTAATAGTGAGAATGGAACCCTAATCTAAAGTGACCATAATTGTTATCAGGATTGTTTAATGAGTAGAAAGTTTAAAAGAACAGCATTTAGTGCAATATGCATCTTTTGTAACATTAAATGTCTTTGTTGTTATGTCACTTTTGATCAATTTAATGCATCCTTGCTAAATAAAATCATGAATTAAAAACAAAAATACTCCAAAAATGTATATTATGAAAGTAAAATAATAATAATGAATGTTGATTTGATAGAGTTGAGCATAGCTAAAAATAAAAGAAGACATTCACAACAGAATTTATGACTTTTAAAGATGTTTTTTCCTGCTTTTCACAACAACATGCTCCATGGTCATCATGGGAGCCCTGGAAATTGGTGCAGGATCCCTCCCTCTGTCTCTCTCGCTTACACTTTCTTCTCCATTTTTTCAGTGTTTAGACTATCTGATTTCTAATCTTGCTATCTAGTTTATTTGCAAGACCATTTACAAAGTCAAATCATTACCAGAGTGTGTTTAGTTTATCAGACCAAAAATAAACCAATTGTGGTTCATGGGACTTGACGTAAGAGCGTGAAAGATCGAACGTGATTGATCAGAACTATTCATCCATGGGGAAAGCCAAAGGAACAGATGTGACTAATAATTAAAGCACTCAATAATCAATGACTTCAAATAAAACAATTAACGCTGATCTCACCATCTGAGCCCTGGCTCATTACTGTGAGAGACGGCCCCTAACAGCTCGCATGAATAAATGAATAACACAAGTGCACTTCAGAGCATTGGGCTATTTTTCTCCGGGTGTTGATATACTACCTCTCCCACAATTCCTCAGTAGGCCATACTGATATACACGGCCAGTGACATATGGTCAGCTAGAGAAACCAATCTTTGCGTAATTCCCCCGTCCCACATCCTATCAATACGGACCCGTGCCGCTTGATAGATCTCAAAGCGTGGTCATTTTTCCTCTTTTTGCACCGCTGGCAGAACCGCAACTCTTGGTTCATCTCCCCCAACTCTCCATTTAAAACAATTCTCGTTATTTCTGAGCTGACACTTCTGGGATTTCAGTCCTGAAGGATGAAATACGTCGGACATGCTGGCTGCTTTAAATCACAGTTTGTGTGTGGGGGAACATCAGGTCCAGCCCGGGCAGATGACTGGCTAGGACAAGGAGCCGTATATCAGAACCGGCCTTATACCTCCACGACACGATAATTTACTAATGAGGCCCTCTACCTGAAGGGACACTAATCTTGCAATACCAGACATGTCAGTGGAGAGTTGAAAGTGAAAGTTAGAGTCACATAGATGCAGATTAATGCTTACAATATGCGTGAGGGGGCTGTGAGGGATGCTGGGAGATATGAATGTCAGGCTACCAGCAAACTGGAAATTTAAGAGGCTGATGTACTGTACGAGGAGGTTCACAAGAGTCCTGAGGCTGTGAGGGTCCTAGGCTCAGGCGCACAGGAAACCTCACGCTTGATTTCCTCCACACTTAAAGTGCAGACATTGTAGAGATGCCATGGTGATCCATTGCAGCTGAATGACTGAACTAGGTTGTGTTCTGTCTCGTAGACCAAAGGACACTGAAGGTTACGAGCTTAGGCAGGGTGGGAATCTATGCATCCAATAAGCATTTAAAAAATGTGATTTACACACATCACATTTGTTGTTGCTTGCTGTGGGAAACTGGATTTTCATAATTAATCACTGACAACAACAATCATGTTAGAATGTTTTTCTTGTACAAGATGACAAGTATGAAACCAAACCAGAGCTTCAGGCAGGAAGGTGACATCTCCATCGCTTTAGAGAGAGAAAACATTACAGCACAAATGATGGCTGAGGACCAGGTTAAAATGCGGGCAATAATGAGGCTGATTTTGTAAAGCAAAAATTGAAAAGATGTTATTCAGAACACGAGTGATAAGGGAAAGCTTAATGGGCCACTCTTCAGACGTCCTTTCAATGCAAGCTGAGCGTAGCCAATGAAATACACGATTCCTGTCTATCTATAATTTACTCTGCTGGTAGAACAGACTAAGGGAAAATGGTTCTTTTAGCAAATGCTTTGTAGTTTGCAGTGAGCAATATCAAAAGACAAATTCAGTTGCTATGCTTTGAATCTACTACTGCAACTCAAATTCAATCTTTAACTTTAATTGCAACAGCATGTCTTCTCCAACTGGTTCACAGGCATTCAGCAGGTTGCCTGGGCTTTTGTTTTAGCAGCAGCTTTCTACATAATAACTGTATTAATATGATGTTTGCAGTCATTTTTCTTTCAGTAATGAATAACCATTTATACAGTATTTTTTGAATCTATGTCAATGTCTTCAACACATATTATACTACCGTTCAAATGTTTGGGGTTAGAAATATATATATATATATTAAATAAATTACTTTATTTCAGCAACGATACACTAAAATGGTCAAAATTGACATTAAAGACATTTTAAAAACCAAAAACCAAAAATTAATAAATGCTGTTCTTTTGAACTTTCTATTCATCAAATAATCCTTGGAAAACCTGTTTCCACAAAGACATTATGCAGGACAACTGTTTACTAATTGTGATAATAATTATAAATATCATATTAGAATGTTTTCTGAAGGATTATGTGACACTGAATACAGGAGTAATGGTTGCTGAAAATTCACAGAATTTGAATAAAACACAACTATTGACCAATCAGAATCAAGGATCGGAACTAACCGTTTTATAAAAAGTAACTTTAACCCAGATAAATGCTAAAAACTATTGTTCATACTTCATACATACAAAGGTCTTGAGGCTAATGCATTAACTAATGTTACCAAATTGAACATAGACCATAGTCAGTGTAGTGTTATATTAAATTGTAAGACAGGAATAAAAAACAAGGCAATGTAACAACATACCAATTGTTCAGTTGACGAAACAATCTTCCAAAAGACTTTTATTAGTCAAAAACAGTTTTAAAAGTTGTGACTTTTGAACATTACATGCCATTGAAAAGACTGTAAGTCCATCCCTCACAGACTCTCAAAAATGGGTCTATTATAAAGTGTTACCATTAAAGATATCAAAACTTGTTGGATCATTCAATACTCTAAATAAGCATGTTGTCTAGGCTAAAATCTCCTTTAGGAGAGTTGACTCCTGAGAGCCCAGGCCCTGATGGACTAATTACCTCGCCTGGCTCCATGCTGCTGTTTTCTAATTACCGTGTGGGTTCACATATCACTGTTTAACAGGTTCTCATTAATTACAGCCCATCTGCCACCTGCATGCCAAGTAGTACGATGAGTCGTCTGGCACATGCCACTCACAAACGCCAGCGCTGGGCACGTCTTCAGCCATGAAAACAATTCACACCTGTCAATATGGCTGTGTATTGGCATTTAGGTTTAGCATTATTGGCTGAAAGGATCCGGTAAAGGGGGAGGACGTCTAGCGAAAGACCACAGCAAGAAGCTGAGAGACATTTAATTGAGAGGTTTTAAAGAAAACAAATCAGGATCCAGAACTAAAATGTGGGCTGAATAATAGCAGACATATGAGGTTCTGGGACCACCTGGATGATTGTGCTCACTGGGACAAAAGAACCACCAACCGTCCAATCAACACCACCCGTCCCTCATATCAGCAGCATCTGAGCCAGAGATATATGGCTTGAACAACAAGAGTAGCCGGGCATTAAAACAGAATATCACTGGCAGATTGTGATGAGATACAGCTGGTGCGTATTGTTGTTTGTCACCAGCACCATCAATTCAGTGTTGTGTCTCCATGGACGCTTTTTATTCCAGCCCATTATTTGGCTTTTATTTTCTAAATTTTATTTATACACACAAATTAGAGGCTGCAAAGTCATAGCACAAATGAATGTACATTATCAAACAACAGTAATTCATAATTTCATTACAAGGCCTGTTCTAATTCTTCACTACTTGGACTACCTTATGTTTTTCTTAGAACAAGTATACAATCTGAGATGCATCACTTTGAACTGCAGAGTACCTATCTTCATCACCCAGCAAAACATGTGCATTGTCCATATGTGATGTAATTTATGATTTATTATTTACAGGTTAAAAAACAGTGTGAATCCTAAAACAGCACCCAGTTTCTCCATTGCAGAATCAGTTAATATTATCAAACTCACTTTTCAGCAGTGGAGAAGTCAAGCATCTACCGCTCAATAAGCTTCCGAAGGTTGAACTGCCTTGAACAATACGCTGATGCAATCTCGCAAATAAGACTTACAAAAACATACACTCAGCCCATTTAACAGAGCGATATTTCTCC